AAACATGGAGAATTGGTATCTCTTGAACATAATTTTCCTCTAATTCATGATCCGAAAAAGGCTGATTTTGTACTGTTTTCAGAGTTATTTTCCATTATTTGTGCACAGTAAAGCAAAATTCGACACGTTTTTCATTTTTTGGGCTTTTTCGCACGTCAAAAAATGAAATTACTACATGCATGCTTATCTACCGCACTGTAAATTCCTGCATCTTGAAGTTGAGGACTTTACATTTTTGGGGAAGTTTCATCTTTGACCAGGAGAAACAAATAAATAAGTTTCCATTGAAGAATAAGGGAGAACGTAACCCGACATTCGAACGTTCCAAAATTGGGAAAAGGTCTCAAGCACCAATTATTTCCGCATCTCGTAGCCACACTGACAATCTCAAGGGAAAACGCGTTTCGCCTCACGAAAATTCCGCATTACAAAACGTATCAAGAAATGGATAAGTTTCGTTGTGCGGGGACTCACTGTACAGACATCAGAGCACGTGTGGCACACATTCGCGAGCTTTCATAAAATGTTTATCGTGCGAAGAACGTCGACATCAATTCCTACTGGGGCGTCACGTATAACTTGCGCACCTCAAAAACTAGAATTTTCTGGCTGACTCGGATTATTAATTTTCAATTCCAGAGAAAAATAAGCCACACGCGCGAACAAAATTCGCTGGATATTTGTCTTTCCAGGATTCAATTCCCGTAATGATTACGGGATCAGTCCAGTTCTCGGATAATGTTTGAGGGATCTCAAGAATTGCTTAGAAATTGCAAACCTATATATTGTTCATAAATAATGTTCCGTGATATCCGCTTTAATCATGATGATTCATCAAAATGTTCCACTGTCGCAGGTAGACAGTCAGGAATGAAACATCTACGGGGGAAAGCAATTTTTTCAAAGGGAGGATTCATTCCCGTGACCGACTTCCCGGCGTGAGTGAAATGGAAGAAATGCGAACAAATTCCGAACACCATCTGTCTTTCTACAACAAATGGAACCAGCCCCGTTTCAGTTGATATAAGGTTAAGCAGGGTCACTTTCGCACTACTAGACCTATGATCATGTAATCTTGATATTTCATCGACATTAGAATAGAAAAAAATGTGCAAGTTTCTGTAAGAGATAATCATGTAAAAAAGCTTGCGTTAAACACTGTCCAAATGAGAGATACGGGAAAATTGTAGCATAAAACATGTGTCCCTAAAGCTTTTTGCCTCTTTTGGTGTCTTTGTTATATTAGCAGTGAAAGAACGATACCGAAATTCCATAGGGAAGAACGACTACAGTTTTCGAAACCAGGTGCGAAACCTTTCGTCACACATAACGACAGAATTTCCCCGATTCCTTTTCACGAAGTGACAATCCCACTTGATCGAAAGCGGATTTAAAATCATCGGCAAGCAACAAATCACGTTTTAATCTGTCCACCATTCCGTACGATGAAATCCGACGAACTTAAAAAGTTTGAGTGGGTTATTTGTATAATAACCTCTACAACAGGTTCACAGGTGCCATAAAGTCGGTGCCCGGTCGTCGTCTTTACACCAGTCAGCACGTAAATGGGAAATGAAATTAGTTGTGCCGGTATAGAGTTAGATCTTTCCCGTCCCACTTGTTGAAGGGATCCAGCAATTGCAATCTATTGCTCTTCGGGTCTACGTCCACTTTCACCTTCATTAATGACACGAAAAATGTTTCAGCAGGGGAGAATATTAGCTTCATAAAATAATGATCCCACCCAGAAAATGAATTAAACCCAAAAATATAAAACACGGAATCGCCCGCGAATTTGATCCCAGATAAATATTTTTCACAAGTACGGCAGAAAAAATTCCGCGAGAAAGTCCAGACTCCAGAGCTGAGGTTTTTTTTTAAAGAACGATCTGGTTTGTTATTCTTCAAGACCGGTAATACAGTGAAATCTCTTCAAGTAGAACTTCCAAGGGACCAGCGAAAAAATTGGAGCAAGGAAGATTTCAATTTCGGGAAACTAGAATTGGGGGGAAGGGGGGAGAAAAAAATATTCACAGAGAATGAGGAAATCGTAATTGACGATTTTCTCTGCCATGAATTGCTTCATAAACGAGTTGACAAGATGCTGAATTTGGAGGCAAGGGTTCATTTGCACGATTAGCCTTTCACTTCAATTCAAATCACATCGCGTTTCATTTTTATTACTTTCCTCTTTCGTGCGTTAATAGAATGATAGCCAGAATTCCAGGAAATTCGAGTTATCGAATTAGGAATGGATTGTTTCTAAGAGACTCAGACAAGGACTTTAAATTCGACACGGAGAGGTTTCACTGTATTTTCGAGAAAAAACACCAGTACTATAGTTTATTCTACCTGAATTCACAGGGGAGTTGTTTACCTACGCGCATCACCAGCAACTTATAATGATCATAAAAGGTCCCTTACTTTGGATCCATCTGCCGGTGCTGGCTGGAAAGTGTCTTCCCCTGCATCGAATCCACGCGTCGGCAATTCATCGCCTTTGGGCGGGGCCAACTTGAACGGTTTGCCATCTTTTCCCTTGATGGTATCCTTCAGGGGATCAAAGTCCAAAGTACCCGCAATGGAAAGAGCAGTGACGATGTCGGGAGACGTGACGAAGGCATGGGTCGCAGGATTGGCATCATTTCGCCCAGTAAAGTTACGATTGTAAGATGTAACAATAGTGTTCTTTTCGCCCTTCTTGACGTCTTTGCGGTCCCATTGCCCAATGCATGGGCCACACGCATTGGCCAAAACAACACCTCCGAAGTCTTCGAATATTTTTGACTGCAAAAACAAACAACAAAGGCAAGATTATAAGAATGTAACCTTGAAGGAGGAACCCTCTCAAGCAAAATTAAGGTCGACACATCATAAGCAAGCTTATCCTACTTTTTTTCTTTTTATCCCGACCTAAATAAGCTTGGTTACCCTGCATAAAATTTTAATAAATTAAACTGACTTCTTTTCTGTCACGCTTCCGCAAAATATCTTCAAATTTTGAAACGATTAGGCAAATTTACAAAAATCTATCGGGACATTCGTTCTCATTAAAAATTTAGAATACAGAGTATACTGATAGATCAACATATTATGCCTCCGATTAAACTTGGGCATGTTTAAGCGGTACCGACTTCGATAATGCAAATTAGTCGAACCTCAAGGGACCTGCAAAAAATTCGAGTTGGGGAGGTTTCGAGTCAGGGAAAGAAGCATTTTTGTTGGGAAAAATAAATAATTATATAATTGTAAACGGTGATATTTTGGACTTAACATTTCTTTTAAATGGTTTGTCAGGAATCTCAGGATACTGAACTATGAAGGGTTTATCTGCCCAATTAGTCTCAATTCCTTTCAGAACACATCAATTTACATTTTTTTTCCCGCGTCAATAAAATAATATCCAAGCGGCCTCAAAAAATTGAAGTTATGGAGATTTGATGCCTTTGAGTTAGGGAGGTTTCTTAATGCATTCTTTTTAAGTGAATTCAGTGAGAAACTTGAAAAAAAACCTACAAAAGGAGAAATTCGATTTACGGAGGTTCGAGTTAACGAGGTTCAACTGGATGCGGTTTAATAAGTTCAGTAACGATTGATACAAGCATTCTTCTCCAGGTTCCAGATTTTAAGCTCAAGAAAATTTCAATACTTTAAAATGTTCAAAAAACATGAGCCTTTCGCTCTCACAGGCGACAAACCAACTGATTTATCCTTGTCATTTATATTCAATGAATCTTCAAACTCATTTTCATTTTCAAAAATTTACAAAAATATAAGCGATTTTCGGGAGGAAATACAACTCACCAATCCATCGCGTTCAATTGTGGCGCGAACTTGTTCGGATCCCGGGGTCACAGTGAAAGCAGTTTTCGACTTCAAGCCATGGTCAATGGCCTGCTTAGCTAAACTAGCAGCTCTCGTCATGTCCTCATAACTAGAATTGGTGCAACTTCCGATCAGCCCAACGCGGATATCCAACGGCCATCCGTGTTTCTTGGCGGTTTCGCTCAGTTTGGAAATCGGGGTTGCCAAGTCAGGTGTGAACGGGCCGTTGATGTGCGGCTCGAGTTGAGAGAGATTAATTTCAATAATTTGGTCATATTTGCATCCGTTATCGGGACTCAAAAGGGTAGACTGGTTATCGTCGGCAGCGTCAGCGATTTCCTTCCTGCCAGTAGCCACTAGGTAATCGCGCATTCTGTGGTTGTAAGGGAAAACGGAAGTTGTGGCGCCGATCTCGGCTCCCATGTTGCAAATTGTCGCCATTCCTGTCAAGATCAAGAGCATGTGTGACCATTTATTTGAAGGCTATCTCGAGGGTCAAGAGTTCAAAGAAGATCTTGAAAACCGTTCGGTATGTGCAATTCATAAATATGCAATGGTGCATTGGTAATGTTACGCAAGTGTATTTACTTGACAGCAGCAAAAATAATTTCCACATAAAGGCCTTTTTAACCTGGTCAACCGGTTATGAAATACATCAAGTGCATCAAAAGTTATCTCTTAGATTGAAGGGTGAAAAAAATTGAAGGTTGTTTTAATAAATCGTAAACGCGATTTGCACCTGTAGTGATTTTTTTACTGGGATACAAGTCCCGTTAATTTATTGATTTTACCTATTAATACTTCTTTAACTTTAAACTACTGTTTATTAACCTATTACAAAAATTAGAGAAAAACATTGACTAAAGGAAATCATGGTTCAACTGCCTGTGAAGCAAGAAAATGTGCAGAATAAAAATATTTCTTGAATTAGGATTCGCTAGTTAGGCGGGTTGATCACTAGGCAAAGCTCCATTGTGCAATATTTTTTACAAATAATATCGGGTTCAATGAACGTAGTTCGAGTGTTGAATACTATATTGAAATTTTGAAAAGGTCTAAGCCCCACAAAAGGGTCCTAGAGCAAGTGCAGTATTTTCTAATTGAACAAGCAAGGCCTAAATGACTGCTTAGCCCGCTCCAGATCAATCCTTGAAAGTCCACAACTCTTACTAATTGTAGATTTACGCAAGTAACACACAAGTATATTTTCTGCAAAATGACATAAAAGTGATGCTAGTCAGTGGTTGTAAGGGAGTCTTTCTGGAATAAAATAATGAACACGAAATTCAGTTTGGCATATATCCTGTTACAATGCTTCCATTTATTATTATTCAAGATTTTAAAGCAGCAAACATTTCTGCCATGTGAATAAATCTATTTTTGGGTAAATTCACCAAAAATTAAAATTGCTTTCCTTACTCAATTGCACGTGGTACTCAAGGAAATAAAATGTTTGTATTCTTGTGCATCCTAGAGCGCATTAAATACTCAGCACAGAGTTCATAAGCTAACGTCTACAGCCAGTGGTTAAGCAACCCATAGACCGTGGACCAGCATTGGTCCACAGGAAATTTTCTTCAGCATAATAAATTTACAGTATTTAAGGTAATGTAGTGATGAAGTCTTTCATCCATAGCAGAAATTTTGGGAAGACAAGGGTATTCGAAATTATTTGAAGAAAAATAAAAGTTGGCATTCCTCCAAATAACACTTCAGGAGACTAAGTTAACTATTGTTGGCATTCATTCTAAGAAAATTCCCTTGAAGCACAGCGTTCTAATTTTTTGAAAATTATACTACAGCTGCTACAATGGTTTTCAACTTGAGTTTTGCAATACAAGTTTTGTTTGAAGGACTTTACAGAAGACTTCTAAAATATTTCTGGTAATCCGCAAAAAGTGCTTACAGAAATATGACAGTCCTTCGGCCTAAAAAAGGTGAGGAAAACAGACCTAAATCATCGAAGCAAAAACTTCAAATAATTAACTGAAGATTTTCTCAAACTTTTGGACCAACCAACTGATGCAAGCAGCTGACAAACTCACCTGTGCAAGAAATCGAATCCACGCCTGGTCCGAAATATTCCACAATGGCACCGGTTCCACCCTTCACCGTGAGGATACCGGCTTTCCCGCAAGCGCACGGACTTATTGCACCAAAATGCAAGACATACTCCTAACTGAACTCGAAAAGCAATAAAATATTTGAAACGATCATTTACAGCGGTTGGATACACCCAATCTCGACTGTTGATCACCATCGAATTTCTGCACTGATTGCCGAACAATATTTTTAAAAGTAACGTTCTTCAAGGTCTTACACCTTCTGCTTGGGGAATTCCAGGTCAATTTCCAAAGACGGGACTTCCCATCCCTTCCGGGAGTTAATCTCATTCAGAATTTCGTTCAATAAATATTCAAGGCTGCACGAACAGAGCATCTACAACCATTCTTCAGTGAGTAACATTCATTTTTTAAAACATGTTTATACAAGCGAAACTACTTCTGTCTCATGTGAACGAAGGAATGCCATTAAATGACGTTAATTTATAACGTTTGAATTTGCATATCTTACTGGAAGAAAAAAAAGATTTAATTGCTGTATTATGTGAAGGAAGTTAAGAATCGAAGGCTTAGCATCTTTTTTTTACTCTTCAACTTTTTGCAAGGACTTGTTTGGACTACTTACTAAGGCCTCGGTCCAAAGGTCTAACCCACACCATATTTTGCACCAGCAGAGCTCAAAAAGTTATAAACTTCCTTATTCAGATCTTTTGCCCTCGCCAGATCTTCCTTTCCTCCGATTTGTGCCTCTATCAAATGATCACAATGAATGGTCGACGGAACTGCGACTTTTGGCAAGCCAGACGAAATGAATTGCAACATAGCCATTTGCGCAGTAGCATCCTGAAAGAGCAGACTTTTTAGAAAGGTGGAGACGTTTAAAAGATTCACCGAGTAAAACCTGCATCGCCACGCGATCTGGTCTAAGCCTCAAGTAGCTTTCGCCTCTAACAACTTCTTGCTTGTGAGGTTCATCGATGTGAGAGTAGAGAATCTTCTCCGACAACGTCAAAGGACGGTTCAGCCTATTAAAAATACCATGAAATGATAGTACTACGGCATCCACACGTTGCGTTCACCAACGATTAACATACCGGCCTTTGACGACTTTCAAATTCGACTGCAGCTTGTCGTATGGCAATGGATCGGGGTCTAATTTGCTCATGGCCACCTTCTGAGCAGCCGAAGCTGCTGGAGACCAATGGAAGCATCGTTCTTGAATGGAACGAAGCCACTTCCCGGAAACCTTCGCAGAAAGATCACTATTATAGCATAGCAACCATGCTGTAAAATGGTTATATTTCACTCACCTTTGAATTCAACGCCACCCGTACAGTAGCCATCACGTACCTCGCGATAAAACACTAAGAAGGGTAATGAGAGTAACGCGACCACTGCCGCTTTAGAGTAACTGTGGGAGTAGAGTTTGACCAACGTTACCAGTACCAACTCAAAGCCATACGTCAGAATCCTTCCCATACTTCCGCACACCTTTTCATGCAATTCCACAGAATTTTTGCAATGCTCACACGAATCGAACACCATGGCTCTCCACAGGCCAACTCCTAAAATCGTTCCTCCTTCCTGCGTTCGTCGTTAATGATCTCCCCTCGTTTCACAAACGACAGGAATTTACTTGGCAGGTTGCTACGCGGGTGGGTGCACTGAACACTGGGGGCGATGAGGGTTTCTTTCCTGGTGATCATTTACATGTAACTATCTCATCATTTTAATTGTGGGTTTGATTGCAAATAATTATTCGCATAAATTTAGCCCTTGCACATTTTCTACATGGAAGGCTCATTCCCTCGTGCGGTGTGTGTGTTGAAAGGAGCGGAAGTATCTGGCAAAATCTTCTTCATTCAGCAGGTAAGATTCCAAGCTTCTTCATAGATAAGTAATGCATCCAACAGGTTAGAGTTCACGTATTCCATGTTCATCAAATTTCAGGCTGACGGCATGTCTACAAAGATCACCGGACAAGTAATGGGATTAAAACAAGGTCTTCACGCATTTCACATTCATGAGTACGGTGATAACACAAGTGGTACGTCACTTGTGACTCATCTGTCAATGTCTTTGCGAGAACTGTGATCATATGCATACAGGTAATTTGAAATCGGAACTTTCCCAAAATTTCAGGGTGCTCAAGTGCCGGACCTCACTTCAACCCTTTCAAGAAGCCTCATGGTGGACCAGATGACACTGAACGGCACTTGGGTGACCTCGGGAACATGCTCGCCGATGCCAACGGAGTAGCCAACTTGAACATGGAAGACAAGATGATCCGCTTAGATGGACCTCATTCCATTCTAGGTCGCGCCCTGGTCATCCATGCGGACCCCGACGATTTTGGGCGTGGAGGGGATGCAAATAGCCGGGAAACCGGAAATTCGGGAGCCAGACTAGCATGTGGAATAATTGGCCTAGCCCCACCTCATCAATCAAATATATGAAATTATCTGTATTGTGCCAATGAAACAACTTGTACCGATTGTATTTTAAATTTATTTATTGAAGGGTGTTCTATGTACGTCAGTTATTCTTTATCTCAGTCCATCAACCACATCATGTATTCTCCAACTAAATTTATATTTGGGATTCCTGAACTTCTTTTAATGGGATCTTACATTCTTACTGCGTGATTTAGAGTCTAACGTTCAGCTAAATACTTCAGGACAGCTTTTGTAGCACGTTTTCAAGAGTGAAAATTTTGTTGAAGAAGACTTGTGCTTTCTTATAGTCCTCGAGTATTGGAAATTTTAATCATGGTGATTCTGACTGCAAAGATTGCCCAATAAAATGTCAAATGGTGAGCATGCAGCATTGCAGCAGGGGTTGCATACTTGCACAAGTCGCATAGCTTGGAAAATGATCCGTATTCGCCATGCTTCCTATTTGAAGGCTTTCGGATGAGCATTCAAATCAAGAAATCGAGCAGTTCCCCTAATGTTTGAATTTATAGACCTTGAACCATCCCTCTTATACGTGCCTGAAAATGCATAAGATAAACATAGCCTCAAATCATCTTTTATTCGGTTTCATTTAAAGAGTCACGAAAGAAACAAACTTCCGGTGGAACATACAAAGCCCCAATAACACGATCCCAGCGCTTATTCCCAAAAATATGATTCTAAAACAGGATCCCAGCACTTCCCAATGATATGAATCTAGAACAATAGGTCCTCATCAAATGCATTCTAAGAAGCTTTAGTACGTTTTGGTCTCCGCATCTCATCATTATTCATTTACGCATCAGGTAAAGGAGAGTAAACACTGAATCGGGGTCCCATGTATATTCAAAACTACTACAATGCAACTGCCGGCCCTTTGAATTTGCAAGTCATGAAGATGGCTCTCGTATAGAATCCTCAGCCTTGGACAATGGAATTATCGTGGATTACCGACTTAATGTTTTTTTCAGAAATGATAGGTGCGGACTGCAGATTGTCTTCGTCATATCTCCCAGCAGGCTCGACCACAAGTTTTGTCACTAAAAAACTTGCAGTGGTACTAGTCTGATCCTCAAGAATACTTCTTGCATCCAACGTCGGCGCCTTGACGTCCAGTGAAGTCGTTGTTGATAAATCACGTGTCCTTGCTTTGGCCTGGATGCCCCAAAAAAGCTGCCTCAGATCCTTGTTGGACATTCCGTGAGTTGCCGAGATTTTATGATTGCTTATGTGATTCCCTCTCACATGCTCTGCGGGAGCTGACTGGTTCTTCGAAACGGAATCTGAGGGCATGAGAAGAACTGCTTGTTTGTGTAACCTTTGCGCTCTGAACGGTAAAATTGCCGCCTTCAAGACCTCAACATTTAATTTTCGGTCCTTTGTCAAAGGCTTTTCCGCCGAAGTCACGAGTTCCGGCGGCTTGGAAGTACTCAAATCTTGAAGCGGCAGTATCACGGCGGCGGTCTTGAGGACGTGGGAGAACATCAATACCATGTAACGCTTAAAAAGTGGATCCCAGGACATTCTTTCCAACACTAACTGGAAGAACTGTCCAAGCTGCTCGCCCAACAAATCAATGTGCGGAGAACTTGATCCAACCTGATAATCCGCCTGACGTTCCGTGACTTCCATGCGATCGGTTCTCGCGGTCAATGGCACCTTGAAAAACACTTTCTTCGTTGAAGATGACCCAATTTCACCAAATGTCTCCAAATAAGGTGAAACTGTTGACTGAACCTCCGGAAATTTTGTACTAGACACTTCCTCGTACTTGTTAATGACTTTCAATGCGGAAAGTGGAGGAAGTTTGGATTTCAAACCTCGTTGATATTCCGCAACTTTTGGCATGTGTTGAAGCATCACATCCAAAATGCATTTTCTGTTGAACACGTTCCGAAAATCCGATTTTAACAGATTGTTGTCGGCACAAACAAGCATCAGGAACAAGACTGAAGACACAAGCGCAATTGATCGCATTTTCAGGCAAAACTTGGAAAAGGACGAGAATTTTGATGAATTGGTACAGTTCTCAACCTTCACTCCTACGTCTTCACCCCAAAACAAACACATCCTAATGATTTGAGGACCGTCTCTGGAGCGCAAATAGCTGCGAACTTGATCTCCAAATTTTTTGCCCGGACTCCACGGGAATTGGCAAATATTTTGCACCATCAAGGTAGATTTTTTCAAAACCCTTTAAAAATATTTTGACGAGGAAACCTAATGAACTTTTTTGTCCATTTTTACCTGTACAACAAAGAAAAAATAAATTGATTCCAGCTAATCGCAGATTGCCACCTCCAAAGACATGAGTTTCCATCACAGAATTTACCAGACGAATCCACTTTCTTAAATCTCATTCATCGATTTCGAATTTTATCGCATCGTTCATGAAATTGACTTACGATAAATGCTGTACTGTACAATACATTTAAAAATACCGCTGCACGATTCGTAAAAAAATAATTCATCATCGATTTTCCCTCAAAGAAAAACCAAGCTTTCAGAACAAACGCACAACAGACCTTAAAATTTCGTTCAGGAAAAGCATTCCCGCGCTTTACTAAGTTTTCCGAAGAAAGCTTGATTTATGAAAAAGTATGAAAGACGCATTGCAGTATTTGATGTGATTTAGAAGATTAGAACTACTGTATTTGGTTTGAATACCACAGCGGACGGTGCGGAACATGTGAAAAATTTTAAAAATACCTCTACACTGCTGCATTCGAAAACTTGTACGTACATCAGGGGAGTTCGATTCAAGCACTGTACTTAAAAGTGATTTCATGTGCTCTTTCACTTCTTCATAATACTGTACTGCATTCAAACTAAAATTGAAAAATGGAAAAAAAGTGCCCAATGTTCGCACCAACTCCACTTGTTTTCTAAATTTCGTCATTCCAGTTCGGAAACAATTTAAAATATTGAAAAAAAACCGAATACTGTATAAACAAAAAATTTTTAAATGGCTCAGAGTCTTTAACTCTATTCAATATAAATTTTACGGAATATTTCCCAGAATGTTTAGGTCACCATGTGTGGACTATTCGCGTAGTATGACTGTTCACAAGTCAATTTTAGAAAAAACGTTTCATAAGGAACTCATTTTTGAAGGAGCTTCACCGGCTTCAAAAACAAGTCATTTTAAATCAACTTTGACTTGCAAAGTGAGTCGCTGTAGCTAAAATCCATCCTTATCAATGACCGGCTTGTTGCCGCTTTCAAAGATACGGACGTAGGAAGTACTTTGAAGGTAAGCGACGAAATAATGAAATACATTCTGAGAAAATTTCCTTCGACCTGTGACATAACCTTACTCATTCTCTTCCGAGTTCAGCCTTAGAACGTATATCCTCCTTTTCTTTTTTCCTGACGATTTTTCATAACCACTGCATCTGAAACTTTTACTGCCCCCTTCTCGCTTTTTCTCCCTTTCTCGGTGGATCATGAGCACTCGGTCACCAAGCAAGCGCGTGAGCAGAACAGAACGCGCCCATCTTCTCTTATCCGTCCCGCGCGTCGAACACATTCTTCGGGAACGGCAATTCACGCCACGCATCAGCAGGTCAACGCCGTCCGCCGTCACAGCCTGCGTCGAATTCGTCTTGACACACATTCTCAACGAGGCCAGCACCAAATGCTCAGCCACGGGCCGCAAACGCGTCACAGTCATGGACATTCAAAATGCCATCCGTGACGTCGACTGGCTGGATCAGTTGTTTGAGGGCATGAGGGTACAGTTGGGCACCGTCGAAGTTTCCCCGGGGCTGCAAGAAGTGCGGGTACAGGTGAAACGGAATTCCTCCAAGGGACCAGCGAGGTCTAGGTCAAGGTCTGCGTCTCCACGCAGGAAAGTGCCTTCAGCGACTGATGTGAACGCTGAGGGGAGTTGCTGAAGGTCACGTTGTGAAACGAGTGTTTTTTCTTCTTTCTACCTGGACATTCCGATTAATCCCTTTACCTGTCCAAATCGCCTTTCAAATTGCTGTCAATTTCCGGTGGTCAAATAAAAAAACCGTCATGCAAAGTGCTTTCCTCGTAAAAAAAAAAAAAACCATTACACAGGGCGATTCACGCAAAAACGAGAATGTTGAAGGAAATGATGAGCATGCGCTGTGATAACATTTGAAGTTCGGTGTGAAGAAAGACAATTTTTCCCTTCTCTGCGGCTAGGTTTAAAATTTCCAGCGCATAAAATCAGTGACAACACTTCTCAAAACGATAGTTGTCTGATTCGAAAAGCAAGCATATTGCCTCTCATTTCATTGGCGTCGACCATTTCTTGGGAATGATGTTCGAAATTGACATACAATTTTTTCTCGCGGATTCGTTCGCGCGAGGAACATCCATGACTTAAGGCGATTTAATGGTTGAAAGTTTCAAATGTTCAAGAAATCAACCACGAAGATTTCCGCAATAGTTAATGAAAAGGGGGATTTTTTTTTACTCCAGTGATTCTTGGAAACACCAGATTAATTGCGAATACGTAACACTAACTCCTCGCGAAGAGCTTCGTGTGCTGAGCATAACTAAATTTATTTTTGAAATTGACAAAAAAGGTACTTAATCAATGTTTCATGGGCCCAAGTTTAAAGGAAAAATCTAGTTTCCCTGGCGTTTGATGTTATACGAGTATGTCACGTGATTTTTCAAATGATGGACTTTTTTCTGACGATGACAAGAAAGTAAGAGTTCAATGGTTCGGAAACCCCGGGCGTATAATAGCTAAACCATCACGAAGCATTTGATTGATAATTATCCGTTTTCATGTCATTCAATCCAAGTTCCTCGTTCTGATCGAACGTGCGCTCGTACTCCTCTTCTTTCAAATGTGGATCGGGTTCCGGAGCATAGACATTCTGCGAAAGAAATGAGTAAGATGAAAATTAAATTGGGCCCGAGGCCCACTTAATCAACATCGTAGATACAAGTGAACTAGCCCATTTCCGCACGATCTCAAATTTCAGACATCAGGTGACAAAAATTTATTATAGAACATTTCAGGAGTTTCTAAAATTTTTTCCACAATTCTCGAATACGTATTCATCACTTCATGCTGAAAAATAAAACCTTCACTTCGAATAATCAAAATCCGTTTCGTTTCGCTAGATGTACCAAAAAATTCAAGATAGTTTGGAACTAGTAAAACTCGCATACATTGATTACTGCTGCTTATTGATTTCTGCTAATTTTTTCTACTGTCGTGTTTTCGACAGCCAAAGAGTGCTCGGGGAGCAAAAGCCCTTGACCATTACAACAATTCGAGAAGAATATCAAATTTACCTGTATGTAAGAATTTCCAGCGGGGTCATCCAGAATGATGGAGGCAAGTTTGTTCCCTTTCACAATTTCATCAATGGCAGCAGCGATCGCTTCGAACTTGGCTTTCACAGAAGCTTCTGCAGTATCTCCGACAAATAACGGGTTAGCAGTGGTCAACTGCTCTTTCATAGACTCGAGAAGTCCTTCCACAGTGGTGAAACGACCAGCCAACGTCGCTGGGCCCACTTCTAATTCCAGCTCCGGGATTGTGAAGTAACAGGTTTCGGACTACCAAAGACGAAAGCATTTGTTACTTCACGTTTCAAGGGATGTTTTTTTCATTAGTGAAGCAAATTATTATAGTCCTCTTGAATAATTTTCAGAAATGAAAAATCTGACGTCAACAATCTATTGTTTACAAATACTGCACTGTACCAATAAAAATACCGGTATCCAAAAGTGATATGCCAACGGATAAGCAATTCAAACGTTAACGTCGCATTTGCAACCGAAGACACAGATTAATCGGATAATCCCTATCACATCTAATCCTTTCAACTAGTTTCAAGACACGAAGTATACGGAAGCTTAAAAAAAAACGATTTCGAGGATTGAATGAAACGGCTTTAATCATACGTAGAAGCTTCGGATCTCCATAAATCAAAAATTCGCCAATAACCCCTATACCAATAAAAAAAGTAGCGTTTTTGAAAATTCTATAAAAGAGCAAAATTCATTTCTGAAACGAAAAATCGTGGCAAACCTTCAGAACGTCCCGCGTCATGTCCAATGCAGGATCAGTAATATCCAGGGTCAGCTTTCTTCCCTTAGCAGAAATTCCACCCCCAGATTTCACCTCGTTCGTTCGATGCCCACATGCATCACAAACCGTAGCCATAATAACCACGTCTTTGAAAAATGGTATATCTAAAAAATAAAATAAAAACAATGCCGAAGTCATTGTTTTACCAAGTGACCTTAAGATAATGCCGAAATAAGTTCTCACCAGTAACTTTCATATTGGTTTCACAGGGAGCATTACATTCAGGACAGTTCGTGCGAAACATGAGCACTTCGTCCCGCAAATTTTCGTCCTTTATCGCAGATTCAGTCTCATTTTGGACTTCAGCGTGGGTAAAAACACCCATCTCATGATCTTGCTCTTTGGTTGTTGCAAAATATGTCACGATCAAATCGGGATCGGACGAGGGGGCCCTTGGGTTCTCCACAAAACTGCTTCCAGACGGATCACTAAGGATCTTGATGAAGGAAAAAATCGAAGCGTATCATAAAAATTGCAAAACTAAAAATTTTTTCAAGACCCCATTGAAGACAAAATTACGCGGATTAGAAATCGCATCAAGTCAGAGAATCACTACAAATCTTACCACAATTAAAATAAATGCAGATTTTGGAAAAATCCAAAATGACCCCCAGGCTTCACTGAAAAAAGTACAATACATACAATTTTCTGATAAAAGCATTTCCCACGATGTGAATCATAACCCTAAAGAAAAATAAATATTTACTATTTTTGTACTGTATTAGTAAAACTTTTATGTCGATGTAAGAATTCCTCTGGAATTTCCTTTGAATAAGCTTTCATGATTTTAGACAGTAACCATACGCGGTGATCAGAAAATACACCATTCGATGGCAATTAGATAAAACTTCCATTCAAGCTCAAATTCAGCTTTCCATAATTTACTTCTTCAAATACATCGCGTTATGAAAATGGGTTCAATACTTTCGGGGTATTTTCATGATGCACATTAGTAGTGATTCACTTGGATTTTATAGCTGAAAAGAGGATTGTCCATTGAAAAACTTTAACGCATCGAAAACACAGAAGCCAAAAGTCATTTAGAGACGAGAATTTTTTTGGAACATCTTGCGTACCGCCTCTTTTTTGGCAAGTACAATACTGACTTTCGAGTCATAGAGTACTTTGAACATCGAAAGCCTGTTTTTGAAAAAGAAGTTCACGTTAAATTCAAATCAATACGGCATTTTCGAAATCTACTAACCATGGAAAACGGCTCCGATAACTCCAACGTTTTCTCTACGCGTTCAATGAACTCCTCAATTTTAGCGGCATTTTCAGGCTCCACAATTTTTCGAACAACTTGTTCCTGTTTTAATCCTCGCACCACCCTGGACAGGATTCCTTCCACAGTAGTGATTTCTGAAAACAGAATATTTTATAAAAACCCCAGACAAAAAAAAAAAAAAATCAAGCGAAGTTAATTCGATTGTCATTTCCTAACCTCCTTTTTGAGATCCACTGGGAATCTCGAGATCGAGGGAAGGGAAACTGACTGAAGCATGGTCGGACTTGACAACTTTTCGGTCCAAATCAGCTCTACTTCTGACTGTCAACTGAAAACCAGAAGAGAAAATATTTTTGAAAGCTTCCCGAACTTTCTCTAGAAAAAGAAAAAAAATTGTCACACACCTCGTAATACTGTACAGTATAAGCATTTAACTTACGAAAGTCTGGTATTAAAAAAGGAAATGGGCGCATCAAATTCAGAACTTTGGCCTAAATTCAGTTTCTCAGCAATCATGCTTTTTTGTGATACAAAAACTCGAAAAATCTATACCCCGCTGCTATTTTCTAAATAGAAAAGTGAAGTAAGTGCGAATTGATTACTTCTGGGGAAGACAATAAATAAGCAGTGCTGACTACCTCGAATTTCACGCCTTTCTCTTCAATTCTCGCAGCAGACTGCAACTCGTTATTCGAATAGCCACAGTCATCACAGTGAAAAGACATCAGAACGACATCTTTGTAGAAAGGTATTCTCGTGAGCAACAGCCTAGTTTCTCCCTTCAAAAAGAAAAAAAAATTAGATGGCGTGAATATTTTACCAAAAAAATACAATTTTCTCACGTCCTTGCCACATTCGACACACATCGAAGCGATCGTCGTAACTTGTGGCTCCCCATCATCGGCTTGAAGAGGTAAGAATAGCTGATCACCGTTCATTTCATTAACACAGGTAATCCCAACAGTGATGAAGAGGTTTCTGAAAAAGTGAATCATAATCAAGGAGACTTTGCAAAACATGATAAACCACAATGGATATCTCGCATAGAAAGTCCAACCTCGCTTTTGATCGGCATCTACAGTCGCGTGAACTTGATGTACTCAAGAGTTGGCTCAAAAGTTTTACCAGTCTTACATTGCTTTCATTCCCGAGACAAAAACACTTGCAACGGATAACATTACTAACCAATAGAAAAAGACTTTAGCCATAAAAGTGCTACCTTACTTTTGTGCTCACATTTTTATTATTCTTCACACAAAGTTTTCGGCTTGAGCGTCTACGGAGTTCTCTAAGTTTTAAGCTTTTCTACTAGAGTTAGAAATATATTGTACAACTTTCTAATCGAGCAAATTTGTCTCGATTCACTGATTTGAAAAAATTACACGGCACTCAAGCGTGGCCAATTATTGAGATTATGCTAGTAAAGGTATTTTTCCGTTATTCGAAGCGCCCTCGATCGAATGAATTATTTTAAGGTATAGTACTGCGAGAACTTTTGAACCAACCCTCGGATCCTCAGGAGATCATAAACGAAAATCATAAATACTCGATTACACCGATAGCTTCGAGGAGTACATTCAAGAAAGTAATTACTCCCAGGACATAATCGAAGTCCCCACATTGTATCTCACAGACATTTCACAAGCCGTCAAACTACGATGAACCAATGCCAGGGGAAAACAGTGTACAAAACAAGCTGGAAAGACGTGACTCGAGAAAATCCTCAAAATGGCAAAACACTGGCTTCTCACAAAACGAGGATCTATCTCGTAAAAAAAGTATCACGCATTCTCAACCCGCCTGAACTCATCACTGATCTCAAATCGTTTAGATCGCAGCTGCGCGGGATAACTTCAATTCACGGAATGGCAGGAACAAAACGTTTACAAGAACAGCAAGTCCGACAGCCCCTTGTTTCTCACAACCACACAGATCAAGCATTACATTTCTCTTGCACGAAGCGTGGAACGAGCAACATTTCTTTCCATTTCATCCATTTATGTCGGAGAAAAAAAAAAGCATTTTAATAAATCACGTCAACCACCTCCTCCAAATTCTCAAACTTTAAAATTTACAAAAGCAGCTTCAACACCTACAAATTTGATTCCATATAAGTACTTCAATTAACATGCTAAATTACGGTAAAAAATATAAAAATGAAACTATGCAGAAAGAATTAAATTAGGATAGTCTCGATGACTAAATAAAACATGCTAGGAAAAAGTTGCCGTCAGAAAAAACTGGAACATGATGGTGTCAACTCGAGAAAAATGATTTGTCACAGTCCCAAGACCCAAAAATGAAAAAGTGCAAATCAGTTTGTCTTTTTTTGCTCAGCCTCCCAGAGAGCTTTTACTAAATTTCACTGAACCATTGTAAAACATTTGTCCTCAAAATGTCAGAAAAAAAATTTGGAGGTCCCAAAATCTCACCTTGAACCTAAATTTCTCAATTTTTGTACCCCGAAAAATAATTGCACTTTGAGTTCAGGAGCTAGACACATCAACAAAAAATGCGACTTCATATGTCTCGTTTGCAAAATCACGTGTTAGAACAACACTTCGAAATATAAAACTTTCCTTTTCTACCAATCTAAGATAAAAAACTATACGAATGCAAGTGAACATCAATTTTGTTCAAAGCTCAAAAATCCGAATCGCTTTACGCTCCGACTCCGTTAGACGTTGATCGAAGACGGGAGAACCATTAAAAATTAAAATTAGATCGATGATTGGAATTTGGAAACAAAATTAACATAACTTTTTTTGCATCTGAATTCATCTAGACGATTAATTTTACTCCTAGAATCGACAAAAAAATCATATGTTTACTGTCATGAACAGAAAAACCGAAGATAAAAGGGAAAGTAGCAAAATGACAAAATACTGCACATCAGCGCTGTACACACGTGCTCTTACTTGAGACGACGACACGAAAACGTCTCAGACGTCCCCAGAAGACATTGGCCGCACTGAATATTATTCTCCGATTCCGGAAAAGAACCGAGATTTCGTTCAAAACCTGACAAGCTCACGCGCGTTGAACTTCGAATGTTACTTCGCCATAATCTAGCGTAACCAGAAACGCGAAGTCAAGGCATAAAATCGGTTTCAGAGACACCGAATCACCACAGGAAGACGCGGAACAAACAACTGAAACAGAGACTAATCCCAATCCGCTTGAAAAAAAAAAAGAACTCAAGCTTCACTCCGGAATCGGCCTTCGAAACCGATCCACGTTGAAAGTAGGTGGTGCACTTCCCATGTCCAAGATTTGCCTGTCAACTTCGTAGTCCTCCAACAGCTTTTTTCGATCCACAACTCTTCTGCTGTAAGCGTAGTCGTCCCTCGCTTTCCTCAGCTTGTCCTGCGTTTCCACCAACTTGGGTTCCCCTGTTCCAAACACCTTTAAGAAACAATCAAGAATCGAAGCTGCACGCTGCTGGAATGCAACCCATAGACGAGAAGAAAAAGAGGGTTCTTCTTCTTTTGCCCCTGGAAAAGCAAATGTTTTGATAAAGGGAATCACGTAGTTGGAGCCACGGGGCGTTACTGAGAGAAAACTTGAAACTGTTCAATCAAGAGAAAGTGAATTAACTATACGCGATATATGAAATCACTTTTTTTCTTCGAGTACAATATGGCAAAATAATCTATGAATATCGGAATTGTCAACATGAAAGACATCTTGAAAAGCTTCAGAAGTGGAAACACGGACTTCCTGGAACGATAGTCGTGGGAATATTTTGATCCTGAAGGCTAACCGCAAAAATTGTTTTCAAAACAAACAAAAAATCAGAAATATCACGAAAACATTCGATTTGTCAAACCTTGCCCAAGGTTATGCAGGTAGACTCTCCCTAGAACTATCATGTTTGTAATGATTTCGTGTGGACCCATAAGGTTCTCTGAACATTACCTAAGGGCATCTACAACAAATTCATCACGAACGATTTTTTTTTTCTGGTCCGAATTTTGTTGTGATGAGTCCACCCCTTAATTGAAACGCAAAACTATTTCTTCAAGCACACACCTTGCAATAAAACGAAGGATCACGACGGTAAAATATTACCTGCATTCGTAGCAAATGTAGAGGGATTTTCCGGAACTCCAGTTTATTCCAGCTTTCCCCAATCCTCAACAAGGGATTGCGGGGATCAGTGCCCAGCGACATTCCAATCGGATACCCACGGATAGAGGAATTGAAACAGATCATCTTGGGTTCCTGGGCCACCATGGTCATTTCTGGGCCCAGTTCTATCAGTGCGCAGCCCGACTTTCCCCAATAGACACCGGTGTCCTTCCATTCTTCATCGACGACCAGACAAAAGCGATACCCGTAATCAGCGTATAAGATCACGACTGTTGGGCCATGATACTTCATCACATGATGAATGAACCTATAAGATGAAGAATTTAATGAATATTTTGTATGCCTTGCGCAAGCCGTTTTAATTTTTCTATCATCAACAATCGCAGGTTTCACAACAATCAATCGAAAACTCGTTGCGAATCTCGAACGAACCTGTTCATCGCCATGCCGTGGTGATCAGTGTCATACAACACTGTCCATTTCCTCGGAGCGCTCAAACTTGTAATCTAATCAGAAAAAGCAACTTAAATTTAAAAACCACAAATATTCAAGCAAGACTAACCACATTTGTCGGTATAATATGGTTTATACGTCGAATTTCCTATCCCAAAAGCAAAAAAACCCACTTAGTGAAGGCTGCACTCTCGCGGTAAGGTACAATTTGGCAATTATTTTTTTCGGAAGTAACCAACAGTAACCCTCAATTGAAGAACAAGGAAGCCGTATTCATTCAAAACCCCCATCAACCCCAATCTTCGATTTTCTTCACAGTTTTACAGATGTCACTTGAACGTTATTTTGCTTCATTTGCTTAACAGGAAATTTAAGTTCAGGCTGGTTTAAACAGTAGAACCTCGTTACAATGAATCATTGCATGCAACACAATGTTTTTTGGTACCCGTCCAATAGCCATAACGTTACCATATTCACTCAAGTAAGGCATACATGAATTTTACAGCCTAAAATTTGGATAAAATTGTATCCCCAAGTAAGATGCATCCCCTTTTTAGAGACTGAAAATTAAAATATTTTGAAAATAAAATATATCAGAATTTAAATTTTAACTTGAATTGTAGTCAAATAGAATGTTGATTTCCCATCACTTCCATTTAAAAATTTTCTGTTGAAATTGGTTGAAAATTCCCTTTCCGTATAAAGCATCACGTGCACCAAAGCGTTAAAATTTCTAAAAATTTTATACAAACCCTTCATTTAGAAAAAAGGAGACGTGGTCCTCAAGTAAATATTGCATCGTATTTTAATTCGCACTTTTTTATTACAAGTATTTTTCGAAAGTCCCAAATACAGTACTGTACTTCGCTGTAACGAGATTCAACTGCACAGTACTGTACATAATTACTTTCTTCATTCTAGCGAAAAATTTCCGACAGAGGGCGCTGCAATCAGAATAAACGCAATAGCAGGGCAAAATAGTGTGGCTAGTCCCTCACCTCTTCATTCTAACAACGTGCCAACAACACCGTCACCAACACCACCACCCAGCAGTCGAAATCCAAGAAGGGAAAGAAACCCGGATCAAATTAGGCACGTATCTTACCAATTCGGTTAGGGTCGGAAAAAAGAGTTTGTGACAACTAACAGGAGTCCGATTAGGTTTCCAGTAGAAATCAGGCACGGTCGCAGTCAACAGCCACAAAACAGCCGGATGTAAAATCTTGTCACGTCCGTCTGCGCATAACACCCATAGACACAAAAAATAATTGAGGATATCTTTTACAGCTCAGGAAACTTCTCCAAAAAATATCCCCAATTACCAAAAGAATGCGAAAACGCAGCAAAAATCCTAATGGTTCACGGCCTTCAGAAAAAACGAGAATTCCGTAAATAAACGATAATTAACTCACCAGTAAAACAAGTCGATTTTTCATCAATATCGGTTCCGTTCACAATCAGCGGAAGTCCAGGTGTTGACTGTAACAAATCGATAGGGAAATAAGAAAAGGTTACCAGATGTTCCCTTCCCACAATAACACCTACCCGAAAGTCGATTCCATCCCCATGCACCTCACTGTGTGCGTTTGTTAGCCGCGCCATGACGTACTTGCTCAATCCATCAGTGATGAAGGGACAATTCTTCTTCATCCAGTTTTGAAGGTAGCCAACACTAACCTCGCTTTTCTGATGATACTGCGACACAAAAACATTAGCACGTAGATGATTAGACAATTAATTTCTTGAACGCACAACCCAGTGTTAAATGGAATGATTTTGCTGTTTTGTCCATTATAATGATTGATTATTCTTCAGTTGGTTAACGTCCATCGGATTCAAATTTTAATGAGACACTGAGTCATCCCAATCAGAATAACCCACCACATATGATTTAAAATTTCGTTGAAACTAGCGTCGCTTAGTCGCTAATTGTTCGAACGAATTTGTAAATTGATTTGAAAAAAATGTACAGAAAACCAGTGCAAAAATTACGAACAGCAATCAATCAGCTCTCTCACTTCTCTCAGAAAACAGCATCGAATGCACAACTTTAGAATTTTGAGCATTACCATTAGACGAGAAGTGATTCCAAGTTTTAAAATTTTCAATGACTTACTACATGAAATTATCATTCATCTGCCCATTTCCCTGGGTAATACAAAACATGAAAAAATTAAAAATCAGCATTCCGAACAAACTAAATTCGGGCGTTTTCATGGGATGTACAATATTCCGAACGTGAAGCAACTTACGATCGAAGTGAGGACGGCATAAATTATGAATTTTTCCTCTTCACAGCTTTCGTGTTCTGAAAAGGTCGCCGCATCGTAACATGCCCACAGGAACTGTTCGCAACCATCTTTATTTATCACTGCAACGTCCAATGAAGCATAAAGCTGAAAAATTTAGTAAAAATAAATGAAAAATATTCCAGAGGGAAACTTCAGAATTTGTTCCCTCACTCTCAAGAAGAAATGCAAATGATCTTGGCCACAGACAGCAGTGAACTTTGCGTCCATAGCACGTATGAACTCTTTTCGTGAAATAGTTTCATCGCCGAGCTTGTTTTGGGATTTATCAGAGACTGTTTCTTTGAAGTAGCGAAAAATTCTGGAGCCCAAATCTTTGTTCTTTGGGAAGCACACCGCCTGCGAAAATAAGAACACAAATGAAAACATATAAAAATAGCTTTTACAGTAAAACGATTATAATTCTTCGCATGATTTAATTACATGTCTATTATTTTGACGCATTGCTACCTTCGATTTTCAAATTAATAAAAAAATAACCACAAATTTTCCTGGATCCCGTAATATTACAGCATAATATTGATACACTCCGAATCGACTGTAGAAATGCTGATTTCTGCATCTCATAGCTCAATACTTCACCACGAAAAAATCGTCAATTCAATTTTCACGACTTCATTCAATTGCTTCATCGAAAAATGAAACTTCAGACTTTCTAGACAAATATTCACAGCGAAATATGAAAATGCGCCTTGACGTTATTCAGAAAATTCACTTACCACGAAAGCGTCCATTACGACTATCTGAGAACCTCCTTTGCATCCAGATCGTTCACACAACACCTGAAACAAAAAATTAGGCACCACCCGAGTCGTAATTCGTACAATATTGATCACTAGAATCATCAATCAAGCAAAAAGTGTATTCCAATGAGTTCAGTTCGGACTTACGTCGGCCAAAGCAATGACAAACGGAGGAGTGAATGTTCTTGACGCTGGGGTAACATCGGAATCCGCAATGATCTTCGTTTCGGTCTTTTCCCGTGGAATCGACGAACGCAAAGAACTGCTGTTGGCACCCATATTGATTAAATCGCTTTCAACGAGTTAATTTTGCCTCCCGCCTTCTCGCGACCGAATTTAGACCACAAGTTCTCCTGAAATGAATCGTAAAAATTAAATTTTTAATAGAAAATTATTTCCAGTAATCCGAAGGCGATCATAATAGCCTTTTCCGCCGTCGACTCAAGAAATCATTTTTAGAGCAGTCGCTTCCTACGCTGAAAATTTATATTTGACTGTGCGGAACATTCAAGCACCTTCTCACAGCGAGACAACAGGGCAGAAAAACTGTACGAAAGAATTGGAACCAACGAAGACAAAACAAAACACTAAAATTACTTCGTCTCAATTACTAATCGAGACGAATTTATTGATGAATTTTATCATCGTTACCTTTAAGATGCTTGAGTGCTTCGCTCATGGAAACTTCCGCGAGAAGAAATGATCGCAGAAATGATGTGTCACTTGAATAAATTTTTGGAAAAGTTTTCGGAATTAGACGGAGTACACATCGAAGAAACAGAATCATCCACAAATGACTTTGTGGGCACTGTACTTTACTGAATCGTGCATTTCTTATACCTCATCTCAGGCGCGGACCTTCTGAAACATTCATCAAAACAAAATGCACCGCGTATTCCACACATTTCTCTCATTTGCTTCCCCTTACTCGGCGATCAAACTGGGCAGTCGGCAAAAGCTAACAGGAGGCACAAATGAAAATCACGATGAAAAATTGGCTCAAGCAATAGTATGATTTCGTACCCAATCGATCGAATGCCCCAGGAACAAAATAACTCGGAAAATCTTTTTGGAGGCAAAAAAAAAAAAACAGACAGACAGACCTAGTAACATAAAAAACCCGTCGTCGCAGAGAAGCACTCCCATTACCCAAAAGTTTAATGGTTTCGTGAGCACCGGAAAAATATCGAGATCTCGTCAAATCTAGAAGATTCTCGTCTTGGTTCCACAGAAAGGTTTTTTTTTCAGAAAAAAACGTTCACACTTTTTTTTCGGCAAGAAGGCGGTATTTGATCAGCCACTAGGCCTCAGTAAATTCTCAGAAGACCTTCATCGTGGTTTACCACCGAGGCACCGCGAAGGTCGACGAATGTTCGTTACAATTAAAAAAAAATCAATTTGATCATTTTAGTGATCTCTGTAATTCGACAAGTAATTCAGCTCATTCAGCCGGAAAACATTAAAAGCTCTACTTTGATAATTATGATTTACAGTACAGTATAGGGAACATCTTTCCGGTAACCCAGTTCATTTCACGATGCAACACAGCTCAATAGTAAGAGACTGAGATAATTTTTCTCGGTTTTGACGAATCCTATATACCTTGAAAATTACTGAAAATCATTCAGCAAAAAAAATGCATGACTTACTGCTTCAGAGACTGTAACATGACAGACATCAAAATCCTTGCGTATTTTAGCAGAACGCCTTTCTATTTCAATTACACTACACGGAAATGTCCCCCGTGAAACCGCCCAACCCATGGTGAAAACACCTCGATATTTACTCCCAAGCGTTTGCGAAACCATTAAATTTCGCGAGGTCAGGGCATTCTCCGCAGGATAGGTTTACTTCTGTCACTTGGGGAACAAAAATCACCGCCCATTCGCAGGCATTCTTCACAAAGCGAGAAGGAACAAGTTTCTCTCCGATCTCGCGCAACAACGACTAGAGGCCTTAAACCACCAACTGAACGAAATGAGATCTTTTCCTGATTGAGGCAACACGAATTAATACGGGGTCTGCGGAGTAACACTGATCATTTCCTGAGTAGTCTTCCCGTACTTGATGTGCACAAAGATAAAAACGATACCTGTCACAAGAAAAAGGCAACCTACGACTATGTAAGCGATACCAAGGAAAGGATTCTTTCCGCCCAACAAAGACGTCGTAGAAAGCATTAACCGTTTTGTGCCGTCGAATTTAGTTACCGGGAACGTGTAAGACACCGTTAATTCGTAGTTTCCAGCAGCGAAACCGTAGCGAAAAAACTCCTGGTCGTCACTCACGATTGCGTACAATTTGCGGAAATTCGGGAAAGCTGCGTTTCTCATCCACACTATGAAGTCTTCATTCACCAAACCTTGGTTTCCGGGTTCGTTCAGACCGAGGTTATAGATCGGTTTCTGCCAATTAATCGGCTTTTGTGTCTTAAGGAACACCCCGGAGGCATTCGCGGGATCGAAGCCCGACGGATTGGCAAACTTGATTCGCTTGTCGGATTCCCAAGCCAGACCGGTTTTGAGTAATTTAACTTCTTTTCCGGAATTACTAAAGGTGATCTGAAACGTATCATTGAACATGCTGTTTGCTATCGCACCGCATGGGACAATAGGCTCCTTATACGTAGCATTCAAGCTTTGGAAAGCAAATGGACGACATTCTTGGTCCGGAGTCTTCTTCACATCACCAAGAAGCTGGAAATCATCGCGCGACTTCACATACCTGGTTAAAAATGATGCAATGAAACGAGCTAGTTTAACTGAGATTCAAAATCGTAAAACTTACCTTCTGTGGTTTTGGTAGAAGTTCGTTAGGCCGTAGTAAACGTAGACCTTTCCTTTCCAACTGTCAGTTATGTTGAACTGAATCTTGCATTCACAAGACGAACCTGGGGCTTCGGCGATCTTGTCAGCACACGTTTTACCATCCGATGTCTTGCAATAAGTGTAGTCCAATTCAAAATGCTGAACACCGTTCGAGAAGTACAACAGCCCGACTCCAACGGGGATGAAAGCGATCCCAATCACGAAGAATGTTGGGAGAACTGTCCCTGCCGTGAGAATAGGTTGCCAAGCAGGCAACCTTTGCTGCTCAATAGCGCGGCCACGAGGACGCATTGAGGGACGGTTGTTGGCACCATTGGGCATATTTTCGAAAATATCACGTAAGTCCTGCAGAATAACAAAAGCTTGCCTGGTTATCGTACGTAATTCACTCATGGAAAATTTCGAAAAGTTTAGAAACGATATCCGAAAAAGAAGAACTTTAAAGGCGAACAAACGAACGCAGAATAAGCGTATCGTGCCCAGACAAAAATCACATTCAAGAAAAGTTATCTGCTGAGGGACTAGACTGCGGGAACACTCGAGCTTCTGTTCGTCACGCGGATTCCGAAGAGAATGCGAAGCTCGCTTCACAAATAAACGCAGTCGATTTCAAGGAAATCTCACCACTTCCCCTTCTCGAACCTACTGTCCAAACGTAGTTTCCTATTTCAAACGCATTTCTTGAAGGTAACCAATCCAATTAGTGAAAGCCACCAAAATGTTCACACTTCCTCGAAGGTCACAAGTCCCCAGCTCATTCGCAAACACAGGAGTTATGGTTTGCAGTTGCACTTTCCAGAGAAAGATGACGCTCGTGCATCAACGTGCCAAGTTCCATGGTCATCATTTAGTATACATGTATACAAGCTATGGAAAACAATACATTATAAGTACCACATCTTATTGTACCTCAAATAATACAATGTAAACTAATGAACACCTCACCTATACGCAAACACTCTATAGCAGGGTTCCCCAACCTTTTTGGTCCCACAGAAATTTCCAAAACATTTTCGGCAGACCAGCAAAGTTTCATGAAATTTTCTGAAGGCCAGCAAATTTTCATAAAATTTTTGCATGCTCAAAAGGCGTTGTTGAAAGACATCTTGAATGGCAGGTACTGTATTTGAAAAGCTTCTGCTTTTTTTGCAAAATTGATTCAGGAAAGCAATGAAGCAGCTATACTAGTGGAATGTCTTCCAACCATGGAAAAGTGTGCTTGAACTTCCTTGAAGAAAGGTTTTTCAGACTCAATAATTTATTGTATCAGGTAAAAATTTGTCTGAAGTATTATTATAATAGAAAAGCCATGTTTTTTTCATGAGATAATTTCAACTGCCATTGTCTTGCCAAAATTAAAAATAAAGATACTGTAACATCCTTCATTGCTACTTGTGAAAAATGTATTAGCCTGCTGCTTAAGAAACTTCCCACGGACCGGAAAAAACTGCTCTACAGAACGAAAGTTTGTACCAACACTCAGTTTTTTTTTTAATGCAACCTCCACCGCGATCATGACGTACACACTCTTTTTTCTCGCAATTATAAAAAAAAAGAGTCCGCGCGGTACTCGAGTCAATTTGGTATACAAAGGTACATGGTAAATGATTCACACATACCGACACCGAAACGGTAATTCCTGCGTGACTCAGCAACGGACACTTGATGCATGCAGTCAGGGCATCGAACAGCTTGTCGGAAAATTATTCAAGTTACGGTACTCTGCTCGTGCCAACAAACGCAAGCAAATTACGCATGCAAATAATACGTGAAGGATAGCAGATGCTGGATGCACAAAACTTCCGGGGCGACCAACACTTTCATTTTGTCTGTGAATAACTCTTTTTGCATCGTACTCGCATCGTAATGAAAAAAAAATACTTTATCGCGCCGCATTTGATTCAATTCCATGGAAGTTTTGCATATTAGTGATACAGTACTTGGACACATCGCTCATCATCACAGTATAAAAAATCATCTAAACGTTTTGAGAGCTAGAAAATGCTCGGGACAATATTTCGCAGGATGGTGAATGAGAGATTACCAAATCGAAAAATGCTGCTATAAACACAATAAAACGCATGAAAACATGCAAGCACGTCATCAATGCGTAAATTCATCCTAGGGCATACTCCTTTTCAGAATCAAGCATGTAAACGACATGGTGATTATTTGAGGGTTTTCTCGCCATATATGATAGAAAAAAGCTAATATATTGCTGATATTTTTTTCCACGAGGAAATATTTCAGAAATTCGGTCAGAAAGCGAAGGACAATACGAATTAAGACGCCGGACTCTACATTCCCCGAGATGTGATCCTGACTCCGTTACAATAAATTATACCACTACAATTGCCCGATTACATTGAATGGAATAATCGTAGGCGACAAGTTAATTACGGAACTCTAACCCAAGTAATCAAAACTCCAGATTATGTTAATATTTCCAACAACAGCTATAAGAATAAGTTAAATACAGTAATTCATGGATTTAAAATTTTCAAAAATCAGAATATTGAATATATCCATCAGTAAAAGAAAAAATGCGCATGCATCGATATAAGCTCACATGCAGATGTTATCAGCAGTTGCGGAAAATCCGTATGAGAATAATGTACGTACTGTACCTCAGATTTATATGATCAACAATGAACTTGAGAAAATAACCGTATCCAACGTGATAATAATTCGGAATCCAGATCTTCTTAGAAGACACTGTATTTTCTCAGCATCAGCATGACGAAGAAGATATATGAGTGCAGAGGACACGTGTATTGGAAACAAAGCCGGACAAAAATAATTTAAGGAGAACGTTCGGAAGTCAGAGTAGGGAAAACCACTTATTGACATTGGTATGTGAGAAAAACTGCATTCTTATTATTGTCATAACCGTATCTAATCTCGCGGATTCCAGCCAGGTTAATCTCNTCCCAAATAAAAATTATATGTTTTACTCAGAACACATTCGTCGGATAAAAATACACAGGGATGTACAGTATTCTTAAAATATTCCCATTATTCCAAAAAAATTCTTCGCAGAAAATCTCTGAATACATGCAGTATGTGGAATTTAAAGTTTATTTTTTAATTTTATATTTTAGCACAGAAATATAAACTGTGCTAAGAATATTTTCCCTACTCCGGAAGAAATCGAAAATTAAAGATTTATTTGGCTGATGGAGACTTGAATAATAATTTGAAATTTTCGTGCGCCAGTCTTCGTTAAACATTAGATTTGAACATAATTCGAAATCTTCTTGACATGCTTTACTTGCGATTGAATATCATGAAAACCCCGGTAAATTTCCTCCTGAGAATAACTTAAAAGCTTCCACGATCCGGAAATATATTCATCGAAAAGCTACTGCGTGTCGCTTTCAAACAAGAAGCCGAAATAGACTTCGAATTCATTCTAGTTATGATTTTCGTCTGTTTCTATTTCTATCAATCATTTTTTTTCCCTCTTCAATTCCAAGCTGTGTATATTTTCATTTATTCGTTGAAAGAAAGAAAAAACATGTCGGTCTCACGTTTTCCTGCTGTTATTTTTTCTTCAAATTTATCGAATCTAATCTCACCTTCAAGAATAACGCTCGAAGTTCATCACGACGCGGATTTCCCAGGCCAGTGCATTATTTCGTACTTGAAAGATGAAGTTAAACGCATTATTATCCGAAGAAAAGAACTAGAACGATTTTAAAGTATTAAATTACTTGCTAATAATGTGATACCGACATTCCCTTACGTCTTTCACCGAGTAAACCATGCAGAGTAATGATCAAATGATCTTTCAAGGATTACGCGAGTGTGGAAAAATAAAAATGGGAAGGATGTGTTATTTAGTGATTCAAAAACCGAAGCGAAGGTTTTGTTTATCGAAGAAATAGGGATAAGTTAGAAATTTTCCCTATACAGTATAATCCTTCTCTTTTTTGAGTGCACACAAAAATCCAAAAACTTTCCGTTATTTCAGGAAAATTTTGCGCATATTTTCTGCAAATTTTTGCATTCATTTTTCCCCTAATTCGATGAATAAAAATCTTAATTTTATATCTGACTTCCTTTCATTTGAAAATTGTGTTTATATTCAGGTCTGCATAAATTTACTCTTTATACAGCAAAATAAATCTGCTGTAAGTGATCTCCATGTCTCTATTTGACCACGGGTTGTGTTGTTGATAATTTTTGAGTCCACCGGATTGTGAAATAAGTAGAAATCTGCATCCAGGAATTTCTCCTGCCCCTTATTTTAATAATGAGATACACAAAAAAAAATCCACACAGGAACTTTCCTCTTGGGAAACTAAATTATTTTCCAGCATAAACGAATATATCTGGGTACTCAAATTCCTAAACCAACAATGATTGATTCATTTATGCAATTAAGCTTCATTTGCCACTTTCCTGCATCCATCGCAAGGTTCACAAAATCCCCCCCCCCCCACCACATCCATACATGAAAGGCTCGAAGACAAACTTTCTTCGCGCGCGCGCGCGCGTTTGCGGAGCCCTTGACAGGCTTGACTTATTGGAATCCACTGCAGCATTCCACGATTTTTCGCCTCGAGCTGAATTTTCTCTGAGCAAAGCAAGAGTTTTTCTGTTCCGAAAAGCTGCACAATACTCATTACGCGTCGAAATATTCATGAATATGTGTGATAGTGTAAAGTGTTGAGCGTGTTTGGTTCGCGGGTCGTTCGGTATGCTATGAAAGGTACCGCAGTCAGTCCATCATGAGTCAAATCCTCTTCCCCAGTAGCATACAGTACTGTATATAGTTATCTGGCAGCACTGTTCGCAAGCAGCCTCCGTTTGCGCGACTGCGTAAACGCCACGGACTCTTCAGTTCACCGCCGCACTTCGGCGCGCGAGCTTGTTGACTTAATCGCCGGCTCAAAGCCTAAAGCAATCGGTTAGGTTTCATTGAGCTTGTTCCCAATTCAGCGCTTGTATCTCTTGATTGTTCCGAAAAGATTATTATTGCGAACGCACACCAATTTATCTTGATTCCGCATCCGTTACAGTTCGTGCAAGAGCAAACTCGGAATTCACTCATCAGCAATGAAAGGTGTAATTTATTCTTCGCGAGACTCCGACTTTTCCTTTCCAGAAGAAAAGAGAACTGAGGACGAACAAGTGGAGTTATTCGCAATCGTTCGGAAGAAAGCCATCAGTTGGGATCACGCCCATATTTGTTTGCCCCGAATGGCATGTTTCTCCTCTTTTTAATAAAAGCAGTGGGTGAACAATAAACGGGCAGTGAAAATATTTGCCTGCTTCTCACCGGGGTATTGAACTGGAATATAAAAATTTAAATCATGTTCTTATTTGTAAACATTTTTTCTGATCATGTATAGCTATAGAAGAAGTGCAAGCATACATTTTCACTGAATCGCGTAGAGATAATTCGACGTTTCCTGCTTGCAGCGATTATAGGAAATAATAAAAGTGTGGATTCTTTTGCGCATTGTCAGCAAATTCTTCGACTGCGTCTGGATTTTTGTTCAATTTTTAACCTGTTAATTCGTTCAATGCACTTCTTGCATCACGTTTGTAATGAAAGGTTTTATTTTTTTGAAATCATTCAAACAAATCCCAAATAAAAATTATATGTTTTACTCAGAACACATTCGTCGGATAAAAATACACAGGGATGTACAGTATTCTTAAAATATTCCCATTATTCCAAAAAAATTCTTCGCAGAAAATCTCTGAATACATGCAGTATGTGGAATTTAAAGCTTATTTTTTAATTTTATATTTTAGCACAGAAATATAAACTGTGCTAAGAATATTTTCCCTACTCCGGAATAAATTGAAAATTAAAGATTTATTTGGCTGATGGAGACTTGAATAATAATTTGAAATTTTCGTGCGCCAGTCTTCGTTAAACATTAGATTTTAACATAATTTGAAATCTTCTTGACATGCTTCACTTGCAATTGAATATCATGAAAACCCCGGTAAAGTTCCTCCTGAGAATAACTTAAAAGCTTCCACGATCCGGAAATATGTTCATCGAAAAGCTACTGCGTGTCGCTTTCAAACAAGAAGCCGAAATAGACTTCGAATTCATTCTAGTTATGATTTTCGTCTGTTTCTATTTCTATCAATCATTTTTTTCCCTCTTCAATTCCAAGCTGTGTATATTTTCATTTATTCGTTGAAAGAAAGAAAAAACATGTCGGTCTCACGTTTTCCTGCTGTTATTTTTTCTTAAAATTTATCGAATCTAATCTCACCTTCAAGAATAACGCTCGAAGTTCATCACGACGCGGATTTCCCAGGCCAGTGCATTATTTCGTACTTGAAAGATGAAGTTAAACGCATTATTATCTGAAGAAAAGAACTAGAACGATTTTAAAGTATTAAATTACTTGCTAGTAATGTGTTACCGACATTCCCTTACGTCTTTCACCGAGTAAACCATGCAGAGTAATGATCAAATGATCTGTCAAGGATTACGCGAGTGTGGGAAAATAAAAATGGGAAGGATGTGTTATTTAGTGATTCAAAAACCGAAGCGAAGGTTTTGTTTATCGAAGAAATAGGGATAAGTTAGAAATTTTCCCTATACAGTATAATCCTTCTCTTTTTTGAGTGCACACAAAAATCCAAAAACTTTCCGTTATTTCAGGAAAATTTTGCGCATATTTTCTGCAAATTTTTGCATTCATTTTTCCCCTAATTCGATGAATAAAAATCTTAATTTTATATCTGACTTCCTTTCATTTAAAAATAGTGTTTATATTCAGGTCTGCATAAATTTACTCGTTATACAGCAAAATAAATCTGCTGTAAGCGATCTCCATGTCTTTATTTGACCACGGGTTGTGTTGTTGATAATTTTTGAGTCCACCGGATTGTGAAATAAGTAGAAATCTGCATCCAGGAATTTCTCCTGCCCCTTATTTTAATAATGAGATACACAAAAAAAAAATCCACACAGGAACTTTCCTCTTGGGAAACTAAATTATTTTCCAGCATAAACGAATATCTGGGTACTCAAATTCCTAAACCAACAATGATTGATTCATTTATGCAATTAAGCTTCATTTGCCACTTTCCTGCATCCATCGCAAGGTTCACAAAATCCCCCCCCCCCCCACCACATCCATACATATATCTGGGTACTCAAATTCCTAAACCAACAATGATTGATTCATTTATGCAATTAAGCTTCATTTGCCACTTTCCTGCATCCATCGCAAGGTTCACAAAATCCCCCCCCCCCCACCACATCCATACAGCTAATTTTGGCTCATAAAAAATTATTCAGTGTGTGGGTATGCTAAAAGAAAATAAATCACCGTTCATACGAATGCATGAAGAATGATTTAAACTTTTTTTCTTGGTATGACGAAAATGACAGCCCAAGGCAATTACCGAGCACAAGTTGTAGCACAAGATGTTTAGCCTGTTCCCAGATGATTTTTATAATGATCAAAATGATTTAGAAATAATCTTTGAGGAGAAATCATCATTTATTAAACCTAGCACTTCATCCTGGTCCATCGAGATTTGAGATTGTACGTACTGTATACCTTTTCATTAATTTGTGAATATCCAACGAATCCCGGCCTTTTCGAGACACTTTTTTGAAACAATGTGAACTTTTTCATATTGAAAAATTGATGATGGAGAGCATTTGTTTTTCTTGCACAGGAACACGCGCTGATGGTCGCGAGGATTCAGCGAAGTTCTCGCACGGAACGCAGCGACTGAGTTCCTCTCATCCACAAAAAAAAAAAAGAATCGAGTTGAACATCCAGTGAAAAAAAAAGGAAAGAGAGTTTGGCAGGAACACTTTGCTTTGTGAATTGCAAAATTTTATTTCGGAGTGCGGTCTTTTCGATCTCCCGATATATTCAGCATGTCCATGGCCCCGGGCAAGGACAACTTCCTCAACTTGAATATTCTGCCGTACTGGCGCAGTTTCGTGGCCGTCGGGGTGCCTCTGATTCTACTTCCGGTGCTCTCAGGCAGTTGGCACGAGGTGAGTACTTATTCTGCCGGAATCCCCCGAACATCCGGTTCTTTGAGCAGTGTACAGCAGTGTTCCCCAACCTATTTTTTGGACCCGCGGACCAGCAAAACTTCCATAATTTTTTTTGTGGACCAGAAACCCCCCCCCCCCCCAATTGTTGTAGACAAGATTGTTGCAGAGAGAGTCCACCGGTATAACAAAATTTTCTTCATAAAAGTAATCCACTCAACAGATACGTTCTACATTACAAAATTTTCCTGATGAGAAAAGTACAAATTTCTGGAAAGTATTTTATTTTATAAATTTAAATTTTTTCCAAGCAATCTTCTATAAGAGTTTGACTTTTCAGAATTTTCATGTATAAGTGTCAAAATGAATGGTCAAACAAGAAACGCTGTTATGAAATTCAAGAGCTTTTTCAAACGTATAAATATAATTATCCAACTTTTTCAAACCTATTCTCACTTGCAGATGTCTTGAAAAATGAGGCACTGATTTTTATTGTTTCTTTTGAAAAATTCAGCAGTTGAATGACATGAATAATTCCAGGAATAAACTTGTAAAAATTATTGCGACGCTTCCATTGCATATACTGTAATAATAGTGAATTTTTTTTTTGAAAATCTTTGTTCGGCAAAATTTGAACGGTTTTCTATGTTGCTTCTCTGTAATGTTCTCAAAGTGATGGTCCGAGATCATCCAAGTACGCACAAAAATCCAAGAAAGTAATTATCCTTGCTGGTACTTTCTTCGCATTTTCGGCCGAGTTTTTTCTTCAATGTTCCTGAGATTTTATTAATATAGAAAGTCAGGTACAAACCGGATGTTCTCCATTAATAAATTCGTAGATTATTCTCCGTTAAACGTCGACATTATCTCTATAAAGGGAAGCTCAATGCATTATCTAAACAAAAATCTACGTTGCCCCGATTTTTTTGTCATTCAGGAATATTCAGAAGCCTAATTTATGGAGTATCTTCAGATGATTTAATGCTGAGTCAACACAGTTGCCGTTACATCAGGTATCTTTGAAGGAATAGAATAAGACAAAATCCAGAAGAAAAAAAGAAACATCTTCCTATGGAATCCATTCGACACCATAACGTTTCTTTTTACTTCTCTTCTTTTAAATCGTCAGATTGAGATTTTAGCTGCCTCAAAGTAAAAAGAAATTAAGTTTTAAGATTCTACAGCACGAAGCATATTTTAAACATAGTTGAACCTTGATAAGTCAAATCTCCCCAATTCAATCACTTTCCTAAATTGAATTTCTCTCAATCCCCCTTTACATTCCCTTAAAAATCTCCCTGACATGAAGTCGTTTTTCTCTCAATCCTCCTTAAGTCAAATGTTTTGTGGTCTTTTGGCATGTATTTTATTGATACATGAATACGAAAAGCAGTGAAATGAGGCACTTTAAGTGTTTTGAAAGGATGTGACATACTAATTGGGCAACTGAACCCCTGATTTCAAGTTCAGCATGCTGTAATAACTCATATAAGAAGTAATTTATAAGGCCCAGGATATCACCATTTACAATTTCATGCAATTTCTTCATGTTTCCAGCAAAAATGCTTGTTTCCCCTTACTATAGAAACCCTCCTATGTGGAAACCTCCCGAAGTCAAATTTTTTCCTGTTCCCCTGAAATTAGGCTTAGAGATGTTTAACTGTATTACACGAAAAAATGGAGGGATGATATTTGAAAAAAACAGTATATAAAGGGACTAAATACAGCATTGATAGCATCCAAACTTTGTTCAAGTTGAACGTGACAAAATAAAAATTCTGAGCAAAGTTTTTGGGAATTTAATGAAAAAATCCCCACATTTCTGAAGTCATATTTTAATCATCTACAAAGCTTGGATTTCACACGGGTTTCATGTTTATTAATGTTAAGTGCAATTGACATAAAGGAAACCTGTGTGACAGATTTCAGGTGTGTCTGTCAAATATATAATTGATGGAAAATTGCCTTGAAATATTTTTTACAAAGATACTCACGTGCTTACACCAGGTCAAGTTGAATAAAATTCAAAAAGCTTCCAAAAAATCTTCTTAAATGAATCCAATAAAATTTGAAGCTCCGCTACGTTTTAATCTTTTCTAAATCTAATGATCTTGTCAAATTGAATTAATACATATTTTGATTTTTTAATGTTATTATTGCACGGATAATAAATTTACTGAGTTCTCCTAATGATTGCTTCAATGAATTTTCTGCTTTGAACATAATTAATTTTTTGGCAGTCCAAGCGTGGAGTTGACCTGACTTAGTTTGAAAACAGATTGAGGTTTTTGCTTGTAATATTGCGTTGTTCATCAACTTCAGTACTTGCATTTTAGCTTCATCATCCTTTTACACACTAGTATATGTTCGAAAGACAAGATGACTTATAAACAAACACTGGCACTAGTAAATCATTCGTCGTAATCAAGTGCAATTACTTCATAATTCATAAATCATATTTAAAAAATGAAAGAAAATATAATTTATAAAAAGCGTCAGAAATGTTGAAAAATATTCTAAATGGAATTTAAACGTTTACTTTCGCTAAACATTAAAATATTTTGCCGACCTGCTACGCTAAACCTTCATCTTTACAATTATTTAATGGAAATAATTTAATAAATGAATCTGCGCTATTAAACACAATCATCGTATATCCGAGTCCAGTCAATAATTTATGCGTCATCATAACTCATCATATTTTATCTCATATATTGTTGGCAGAATTGAATTGACCCCCATTTCTGAATTCTTTGCCTGGAATGCTGACCTAAATTGTTTCTCCCCGTGATAATCAATGACCCGTCGAAGAAAAGAAAGTGAAAATGGTGCTTCCTTATCTGTTGTTTGTTCCAAGATGAATGATACGAAATATTGCAATGTAAACATTAGCTCTTCAATCTGCCAATTATTAAAAATCGCAGAGCTATTATTCAACCTGTTTTATTGTTTCGCGAAGATAACTTCTCGTCAAAACGACGAAATAAAAAAAAATCAAGCTCACCAGGAAAAAAAATATATGGATAGTTTCACCTTCGGAAATTACTTCTGAGATCGATATTTTCGGTAGAATCCCCCATAAAATAATCCAGAGCTCATTTGAGTTATTCGCTGTATTTTGTGGATCTTTTGGTGCACCATTCATTGACAAAAATAGTGCCAATTATTAAGCCAAATTGCCTGAAATTGATGAACGAAAATTTTCACACATTTTCACTTGAAAGAAACTATTGCCCCTGCCGTGAACCCTCGAAAATATATAACATATCTTTTCTTTGCTTCAACCATCCACATTTTTTCAGAAAACGTAAAATCTTTCTGCAGGATTTTCGAAATTTTAATTGCCTCTGAACATTTTTAGTACATTATAGACCAGTGTTCCTTGCCCATTTTGGGACTGCGGACTGGCAAATTGAAAAAAAATTGTAGGCCGTCAAATTCCTTTAAACTTTTCTGCAGACCAGCAAAGTTTCATACATTTTATGCAGGCTCAAAAAATTTGTTGCTCAAAATAGTTTATGGCAGGTATTTAAAAAGTTTCTACTTTTTGTACAAATAATTCAACAGCAATAAATCTTATGTTGCTTCTCTGTAATGTTCTCAAAGTGATGGTCCGAGATCATCCAAGTACGCACAAAAATCCAAGAAAGTAATTATCCTTGCTGGTACTTTCTTCGCATTTTCGGCCGAGTTTTTTCTTCAATTTTCCTCAGATTTTATTAATATAGAAAGTCAGGTACAAACCGGAAGTTCTCCATTGATAAATTCGTAGATTATTCTCCGTTAAACGTCGACATTATCTCTATAAAGGGAAGCTCAATGCATTATCTAAACAAAAATCTACGTTGCCCCGAATTTTTTTGTCATTCAGGAATATTCAGAAGCCTAATTTATGGAGTATCTTCAGATGATTTAATGCTGAGTCAACACAGTTGCCGTTACATCAGGTATCTTCGTTTGAATATAATAGAATAAGGCAAAATCCAGAAGAAACAAAGAAACATCTTCCTATACATCCATTCGACACCATAACGTTTCTTTTTACTTCTCTTATTTTAAATCTTCAGATTGAGATTTTAGCTGCCTCAAAGTAAAGAGAAATGAAGTTTTAAAATTTTACAACACTAAGCGTTTTTGAAATATACTGTAGTTGAAGCTTGATAAGTCAAATCTCCGCAATTCAAACACCTCCCTAAGTTGAAATTTTCTCAAGCCCCCCTCTGAATTACCTTAAAAACAATTCATTTAAAACCTCCCTGACATGAAGTCTTTTTCTCTCAATCCTCCTTAAGTCAAATTTTCTGTGGTCTTTTGGTGTTTTTTTTATTGATACATGAAGGAGAAAAGCAGTGGAACAGAGAATCGAATGTGTTTTGAAAGGAAATGACATATACTAATTTGGCTAATGAACCCCTGCTTTCAAGTTCAGCATGCTGTAATAATAACTCATTCAAGAAATAATTTTCAAGGCCCAGAACATCACCATTTACAATTTCATGCAATTCCTTCATGTTTCCAGCAAAAATGCTTGTTTCCCCTATACTAGAAACCTTCCTAAATGGAAACCTCCCTAGGTCAATTTTTTCCTGGTCCCTCGAAATTCGACTTGGAGAGGTTCAAGTTTACAACACTAAAAAAAATGGAGGGATGATATTTGAGCAAAAATAGTGTAAAGGTACTAAATCTTGAAAGGATCCAAACGTTGTTCTAATGGAATGTGACAAAATAAAAATGTTGAGCAAAGTTTTGGGAATTTAATTTTAAAAATCCCCACATTTCTGAAGTCATATTGTAATCATCTACAAAGCTTGGATTTCACATGGGTTTCATGTTTATTAATGTTGAGTGCAATTGCCATGAAGGAAACCTGTGTGAGAGATTTCAGGTGGGTCTGTCAAATATATAATTGATGGAAAATTGCCTTGAAATATTTTTTTACAAAGATACTCACCATTCTTACACCAGGTCAAGTTGAATAAAATTCAAAAATCTTCTTAGATGAATCCATCAAAATTTGAAGCTCCACGACGTTATAATCTTTTTTTAAATCTAATTATCTTGTAAAATTAAATTATTACTCACTTTTACTTTTTAATGTTATTATTGGAAGGATAATAATTTTACTGAGTCCTACTAATCCCTGCTTCAATAAATTTCCTGCCTTGAACATGATTAATTTTTTGGGTGTCGAAGCATGAAGTTGAACTGACTTAGTTTGAAAACAGCTTGAGGTTTTTGCTTGTAATAATGCGTTGTTCATCAACTTCAGTACTTGCATTTTAGCTTTATCATCCTTTTACACATTCGTATATTTTCGAAAGACAAGATGACTTATAAACAAACACTGGCACTAGTAAATCATTCGTCGTATTCAAGTGCAATTACTTCCTAATTCATAAATCATATTTAAAAAATGAAAGAAAATATAATTTGTAAAAAGCGTCAGAAATGTTGAAAAATATTCTAAATGGAATTTAAACGTTTACTTTCGCTAAACATTAAAATATTTTGCCGACCTGCTACGCTAAACCTTCGTCTTTACAGTTATTTAATAGGAATAATTTAATAAATGAATCTGCGCTATTAAAATAAAATTATCGTACATCCGAGTCCAGTCAATAATTTATGCGTCATCATAACTCGATTGTATTTTATCTCATACATTGTTGGCAGAATTGAATTGACCCCCATTTCTGAATTCTTTGCCTGGAATGCTGACCTAAATTGTTTCTCCCCGTGATAATCAATGACCCGCCGAAGGAAAGAAAGTGAAAATGGTACTTCCTTATCTGTTGTTTGTTCAAAGATGAATGATACGAAATATTGCAATGTAAACATTAGCTCTTCAATCTGCCAATTAGTAAAAATCGCAGAGCTATTATTCAACCTGTTTTATTGTTTCGCGAAGATAACTTCTCGTCAAAACGACGAAATTAAAAAATTCAAGCTTACCAGGAAAGAAAATAAATTGATAGTTCCACCTTCGGAAATTACTTCTGAGATCAATGTTTCGGTAGAATTCCCAAAAAAATAATTAATCAAGAGCTCATTGTTTGAGTTATTCGCTGTATTTTGTGGATCGCTTCATGAATCATTCATTAACACAAATAGTGCCAATTATTAAGCCAAATTGCCTGAAATTGATGAACGAAAATTTTCACACATTTTTGGTTGGAAGAAACTATTGCCCCTGCCGTGAACCCTCAAAAATATAGAACATATCTTTTCTTTGCTTCAACCATCCACATTTTTTCAGAAAACGTGAAATCTTTCTGCAGGCTTTTCGAAATTTTAATAGCCTCTGAACATTTTTAGTACATGCATTATAGACCAGTGTTCCTTGCCCTTTTTGAGATTGCGGACTGGCAAATAATAATAAAAATTGTGGACTGGCAAATTCCTTTAAATAAAAGACGTCTGGTCGTTTCAAAGTATGTAAAATACGTCCGAGTTTTTTAAACAACGAGTTTTATCAAATACCGTCCATAAATTTTTCAAAGATGAAAAACATGTTTATTAAGTTGTCGTTATTTAGAGCTACAGTGTATAGGGAACTGTCTTCAAAAAATTAGAAAGGTGTTCTTGAAGAATGGATTCTCAAGATGATGGAATTAAAAGAAATAATTTCAGCATGACAACATTTGTCTGAAACGTTATAGTTGGGAGAAATGGGAACTGTTATTTTTTCATCAGATAATTTAAACTTTGCAATTATCTTTGAAAAATTTTGGATAAAGATAAAAGACTTCATTGCTACTTTTTATGATTTTTTTATGCTGCAGAAAATTTCCTGAAGATCAGCTAACATTTTCTGCAGACAAGCACTGTTCTGCAGATCACAGGTTTTGGAACACTGGTATGGACTATGTTTTATGTATAATACTGTATACTACTGCAGTAAAAAATAGAATATGATTATCCAGGTAAACTCTCAATGCAAAAAATTAAAAAACCAGGAAATTTATTGTAGACCAGAAACCCTATAACATGGAGAGAGAACCCTATAATGAGACCCCAAAAATTGTTATGCAGAAATAAATCTTTGCAGATAAGATTGTTGCAGAGAAATTCCACCTCTATAGTTTGATGTCTCAAATTTTTAATTCAGAGATCCACCAGAACAAATAATTATTAATACCGTACTCAAAAGGGTTTAACAGACCTTTTAGGAGGGTTCTTGCATACTACACAATGTAGAACTGAGTTTCTATGATTATTTCACTTTCTAAAGAAAAATACAGTTTGAAAATGCAATCAGGGATTTTCTCTTTTTTTCTAACCATATGCTTTGATTATTTTCTGCATTTTCAGGAACACACAAGATGTGGTTATATTGTCATCATCATGGCGACCTACTGGATGACAGAAGCTGTGCCCTTGGCCATCACTGCCCTCATTCCTGTGGTCTTGTTCCCACTGCTTGGTGTCCTGAGCACTGATCAAATATGTGAAGTTTACCTGAAGGAGACCAACATGATGTTCATTGGTCAGCATTCCCTTTTTCTAACTCATTTTCTGTCATTATCCAAGCAAAAATCAAAAATTTGGGATTTCATTTGAAGTTAGAAATTTTTATGGGACATTTTATTGATGGTAAAATTGCATTGTTTTCAGGAAATATGGTTGCTTCAGCATGCCGAAAATTCTACTTATAAATACTTAAAACTAGAAGAAAATTTTCCCAAACTTCTGGAAAATCTCTCAAGATATTTTCACGCTTTGCCAAAATTTAAAAAAGGCATGTCTATTAAACAAATTGAGGAAGTGGATTCAAAATCAATTCTATTCTAGATTTTCTCTAATTTATTTAAAAAACTGATTATGTGCTTGTTTTGGAAAATAGGGGGTTTCCATGAACTGTGTAAAGTTTTGCCATATGTTTGCTTGTTTTTACGTTTTGGGCTCTTTTTCATGCCATTGAAATGGCAGATTTTATATGGTTTTCTTCTGCACATTTATTTCCTGTAATTTGAAGTTAAGAACATTTTTATTGGATTTTGGAAGACTTTTCATTTCAGAATACTTTTTGCCAAAGGATTAAACAAAAATCACAAAAGTTCAATATTGTAGATGACAAAATCATAAGTATTGTATTTTATAAATCTGTTCCAAAAAGCTAAAAAAAATGAATGCACTCAACTTATATTTATTTTCTAAAGTTGGAAAGCACCTTCAGGAAATGCTTGGTTCTGATGAGTATTATTAGCAAAATTAACAGTACAGTATTTCCAAGCTGTTCCCAAAATAAACAATACATTATTTAATCAACTGGTAAATTTTCCAGACAGGGCATTCAAGATGCTTAGAAATGTTTGGTCACTGCAAATTTTCTCTTTACAGGTGGATTGATCGTTGCAATAGCTGTGGAACATTGCAATTTGCACAAAAGAATAGCTTTGTTTGTTTTATTGCATGTGGGTTCATCACAAAGATGGTAAGTCAAAAAATTCTGGAACCTGGTGAAAATATCTCCAATGTGTTGAATTTTTCTGTGAATGGGGCATTTGTTTGGATTTTAATTGAGTTTTGTAATATTCCAAGTTTTAAATGCCCTTTTCCTGATTCATTCTGTCAATTGGATGAACTGAAAAAAGGTTAAATCCTCCTAATTTAAATTTAAAGCTTTTCAAAGCCAAATCTTGTTGTTGGAAGCTTGGGTTTCATTTCTTCAGGCTCATGATGGGATTCATGATGACCACAATGTTCTTGTCCATGTGGATTTCAAACACTGCAACCACTGCTATGATGGTGCCAATTGCTGAAGCAGTTTTGTTTGAATTATACAAGGTGAGTGACATACATGTATATATATTTTAGCAATCATTGCGCTAATCATTTCTTTGACAGCAGTTGAGCAATGAATTGCAAATTATCTTTTGTAAATTTTCTACATAGAGAGACATTCCAATGTACTCACTGTTAGGGATTTCCCCAAACAAATATATTTTACAATTAAAACAACCCAATGAGCTGGGGACTGGCTGGGCAAGGAATTGATATATTTATTTATGTCCCAAAAGAATCAACAACATCTTCTTCCAGAGAAATACACGCATACAATAATTCACACAATTTCTAAGATAATTGGTTCAAGCAGTGGATCGATTCTTACCCTTAGTCTAAGACTTACTCTTACAAGACTTACCAGTTACACGACAACTATATTTTAAAAACTCCGAGAATACGTAATAACTCCTTCCCAACACAATTTGAACAAGAACCACTTCTTTGGGATTTTTTGTTGCGTTCTGATTGGCTATTTATGTCAAGATTGAAGACCATGTGCAGCATTGTTGTTCAAATTTTGAAGGTTTTTGGGGGCAAGTTCTTTGGGACTGGGCTCTCTGTAAGCCCCAGCACCAGTTCACCAGAATAAGAGGGTGGATGAGTAATTTAATATTTAAGTAGTGTGCACTGCAGTCCCCAAAACATACTCTTCATTTCTCCAACTGCTGCACATGTATCTTTTAATTTTTAGCATATCTCATGGTGGATGCTACAGCAAAATAAATACAGATAGTACCTCACAATGCAACCCTAATCTGTTGCCAGATTAGGGTTGAATTGCAAGAAAATTTCTAAACTTGAGAAAGATCAGTACAAAAATGCAAAGAAAGTGGCCAAAGTTTGTCAAATTCCAGGGCAGAGGTTGAATTGCAAGTCAACCTCCTTGCAAATTTGACTAACAAATTACAGTATGGTTGAATTGCAAGGTACCACCTGTAGCAGTTTTGTTAAGATAAGTTGGGAGGCATGCCTTTTGAAATTACTGTGAATTACTTATTGCCTACTTGGAATTTCAGTAAAATTCTTAGCTAAGAATGGGAATCAGATTCTGAATGAGAATGTTCTGAATGGTCAATGTGCTGTTGATATAAAATTTTTGAGGCTCTTATGCATTATTGAGGAAGGGTTGTGTTAAACTTGTTCTTGGTGAAGACTGAGATTCTTTGCTGAGTTCTGATTGGCTATTTATGTCAAAATTGAAGACCATGTGCAGCATGGTTGTACAAGTTTTGAAGGTTTTTGGGGGCAAGTTATTTGGGACTTGTCTCACTGTAAGCCCCTGCACCTGTTTACAGTAAGTGGGTGGATGAGTAACTTAATATTTAAGTAGTGTGCACTACAGTCCCCAAAACATACTCTTCATTTCTCCAACTGCTGCACATGTATCTTTTAATTTTTAGCATATCTCATGGTGGATGCTACAGCAAAATAAATACAGATAGTACCTCACAATTCAACCCTAATCTGTTGCCAGACTAGGGTTGAATTGCAAGAAACTTTCTAAACTTGAGAAAGATCAGCACAAAAATGCAAAGAAAGTGGCCAAAGTTTGTCAAATTCCAGGGCAGAGGTTGAATTGCAAGTCAACCTCTTTGCAAATTTGACTGTGTTTAATGTCATACCAACTTAACGTTCCATGGTGGACATCGTCAAAACAATTCTATTCAACCCTCCGTACGGAAAACTTTAATGACACTTAATGAATAACGGATGAACCTTAAAGTCATTTTAAGAAAGTATTCATTTCATTTGAATTTCATTAACAAAAATGAAGTTTTTTGCTGGAGCTTGGAAATTACTGTGCTTGAGCTTCTGATAGATGTTACAGATTTTCTAAAAAAAAAGAAAAAGTTTATTAAATGTTATCTGATAATTTATAAAAATTCACCCGTGTGGCGTAAACCACATCAAATCTCAGACAATGTTTCCAATGTTTGTTTTCAACAATCCAACTAAAGCTACTCTGTATTTTCCTGAACTTGAATGAAATCTGCAGATGCGTCGATTTGAAAAAATAATTTTTGATTCAATACCCGGAGATTAATCTATTGATGTGAACAAAGCAAATCTAAAAAAAAACGAACAGGAAAGGGAAAAAATGAGCTGAACAAAATGAATTTAATCCAGCACTGCAACCTCCTAATGTCGCTAGTTAAAGACGGAAAGTAACTACCATAGTGCGTAGTCAAATTAGCCCTTCCCTTTTTAAGTAGTTATTGACTCTCTTTAACACTTCGTACGATAAAAATTGTAGGATCTCTGATCCTTCTTATTTCCGTTTGGTAATATTGTTCTTTTTTAGAAAAATATATTTGATAATATTGTTGTTTTTTAGAACTGATTGAAAGAGTTATGAATAATTTCAATTCAAAGCCCTCAAGTTTTGTTGTTGTTGTTGAAAACCTTTATTGGAGTGTTGAGTATCCCAAGAGAATTAGGCTCTTTACTTAACAAGGCAAAAATTTTAATTATTCAAAAGAAAAACTGAGATGAGAGTAACTCAAATCCATCTTCTTGGTTGTAAATATCTATCCCTTGTCATAACTTTTTGTGCATGATTTAATTTAGAGAACTTGATCAGAGAATCAAAAAGATAATTCAAACATTTTCCATCATGCTTAAAACTTTATCCTAAAATGTTCAGATTTTTGACAAAAACTTGGAAGAAGGATGTCAAAAAGGGATTTAGGACAAATGGAGGTAGACAATTTGAGAGAGGGACAATTTGAATCCTTGAAAAATCAGAAAATTGAGTGTAAAAGACATATATTGTGTGTTCAGAGTAACTTCATGGTACTGTCTCAAATTGTCCTGGTCTCATATTTTCCCTGTCTCATATTGTCCCTGTCTAATATTGTCCCTGTCTCATATTGTCCCTGTCTCATATATTCCCTGTCTCATATTGTCCCTGTCTCATATTGTCCCTGTCTCATATTGTCCCTGTCTCATATTGTCTGACGTTGGAGGATTACAGCGATCAATTTCTGCCTTTCATTGATGGTATCACGCATCAGTTTAATCGGGAAGGGAAAAATTCATCAATAACTGAGAGAAATTGTGAAGCATGCTATTTTTAACATCCTACTCTGATCCTTCTTATTTCCGTTTGGTAATATTGTTCTTTTTTAGAAAAATATATTCGGTAATATTGTTGTTTTTTAGAACTGAATGAAAGAGTTATGAATAATTTCAATTCAAAGCCCTCAAGTTTTTGTTGTTGTTGTTGAAAGCCTTTATTGGAGTGTTGAGTATCCCAAGAGAATTAGGCTCTTTACTTAACAAGGCAGAATTTTTAATAATTCAAAAGAAAAACTAAGGCGAGACTAACTCAAATCCATCTTCTTGGTTGTAAATATCTATCCCTTGTCATAACTTTTTGTGCATGATTTAATTTAGAGAACTTGATCAGAGAATCAAAAAGATAATTCAAACATTTTCCACCATGCTTAAAACTTTATCCTAAAATGGTCAGATTTTTGACAAAAACTTGGAAGAAGGATGTCAAAAAGGGATTTAGGACAAATGGAGATAGACAATTTGAGAGAGGGACAATTTGAATCCTGGAAAAATCAGAAAATTGAGTGTAAAAGACATATATTGTGTGTTCAGAGTAACTTCATGGGACTGTCTCAAATTGTCCTGGTGTCATATTTTCCCTGTCTCATATTGTCCCAGTCTCATATTGTCCCTGTCTCATATTTTCCCTGTCTCCAATTGTCCCTGTCTCCAATTGTCCGTGTCTCCAATTGTCCCTGTCTCAAATATTCCCTGTCTCATATTATCCCTGTCTCTAAGTGTCCATTCTCCCACTGTCCATCATGTGAGATCTCCAATTGCCCCTGTCTCAAATTGTCCCTGTGTCAAATTGTCCCTGTCTCCAATTGTCCCTGTCTGAAATTGTCCCTGTGTCATATTGTCCCTGTCTCATATTGTCCCTGTCTCATATTGTCCCTGTCTCATATTGTCCCTGTCTCATATTATCCCTGTCTCCAAGTGTCCATTCTCCCACTGTCCATCATGTGGATCTCCAATTGTCACTGCCTCAAATTGTCCCTGTCTTCTTTTAAATTTCATGCAGAAAAGAGACGTCATCGACGATCAATTGGAGCTGGCCGAAGTTGTTCCCAAAGAACCTGAGAACAACGACGTCGACCATCACGACAAAACGAAGCCGATGGACGATGAACGCGACGTCATCGGGGCGCCGGCGGACGGCGAGGCGTCCTTTTCGCGCAAGAGCAGCACGAGGGCGTCGTCGAGTCGGGCGGCGTATTTGAGGGACAATGGGTTCTCTGTGATCCACACCGACCAGCGCCACATGACCGCCGCCGCCGCCGCCGTCGACCCCACTGACCCCACTGTGCATCGCAGATCCTCCGTGTACCACGGCTCTGAAAGGTATAAAAGCCAAAACGAAACAAAAACGAAATTTTAAAGTAACGCCTAAACATCTTCCTTCATCAGTGATTCACTTTTTACAGTATATGCAGCCGGAAAAAAGAATGCTGGACATTTTTGTTGTTGTTTGCTCAGGATTTGGAGTAAATTTTGTGCCAGACATGAAACAATTTGGAATTTCTGCAATTGCAGAAACCAAGTTGGGATTTTTGCATAGTAGTGGCAAAAATACCTCTGGTAAAAATCTCCCGCTCCATTATGTCCTTAAGGTAAACCCCAATTTAGTGCCAACTCACTTGGTGCCACAAAAGACAATGTCATGCTTAAACAATGGGCCGCCATTGAAGTAAGCAAGGAATTTTTCTAAGGGATTTCATTTGGTGATGACACTGAGACTCACATCCCCATCCTCAAGTGAAACTCAGAATGGTTGTGAACAGTCTATTTTTGAATTAACATTGTTGAAAAATATTTTTTTTAACATGTGCCCTCATTCTTTATTGAAATTTTAAAAATCAAAGCTTTTGTAGAAACATTGATGATTCCTTCATGATGTTATTTTATATTAAACTAAATCTAACGCATGCAAAATGTTGAGAAATGGGTCTGAAATTTTACTAGACATCAATGTGTTTAAATATCTAATATATTCTGCTTTGACTTAGGGAGGTTTCTAGTTGGCGGAAATAAGCATTTTTTGTTTTTGAGAAATATGAAAAATTGCATGAAATTGTAAATGATGATATTCTGCGCATTAAAATTTACTTCTTAAATGTTTTATTACAGCATGCTGAACTTAGAAGCAAGGGGTTCATTTGCCCAGTCAGTCAGTCACCTCCTTTCAAAACACATTAAGTTAATGTACGTGTTTTATTGATTTTCTCTTTCATGTACAGGTATCAAGAAAATAATAGCCAAAAGGCTTCAGAAAGTTTGACTTAAGGAGGCTTGAGAGAGAAATATTTTTTGTTAGGGATTTTTTTGAATACATTTTTTGAAGGGAACTCAGATGAGGATGTGAAAAACATTTGACTTCCGAAGGTATTAGACTTTGGTGAGGTTAAACTCATCATGGTTCAAATTAACAATATAAAAACAGTACATTCAAGCTTCAAATTATTTATTTTGGCTTTATTACTTTAGAAAAACTTAATTTGTTGAATAAATTGCTGGTGTTGTGCCAGAAGAGGTCCTCTATGAGTAATCCAACTATGAAGCATAACAGCTGCAATTTAGAAAACATATTCTCTCATCATCAATTTCTTTCTTCCAACTACTGTACATAAAATGATCATTTCTTACCTTGGGAAGGAATATTTTGCAAGACACACACATTTTAAAAATGATCTCAGGTACTGTAATTTAATGAGGTTATTTCCAATTAATTAGGGGAAAGTTCTCCTAAAACATCTGAAAAACCAATTTTTATGCAAAAGTGTAATTGCATGTGCAATAGCAAGCAGTCATGCTGCTTCAATGGGTGTTATTACCCTATTTACTCAAGTACCACGCGCACCTTTTTTTTTCCCCAAATTTCAGAAGAAAAAAAAAGAGCTGCGCGTCATAAGCAGGTACAAAATTTTCAAGACATTTTAGGAAGTTATGTTTGCATTATGCTTAATTATAATGGAGAAATTTGGAACAAATATAACAAGAAAACATTTTTGTATTGAAAAAGTTGAAAATTCATCAGATTTTTGTTCAATTCACCCCTAAAGTCAAATTTTTGTTTTTATTTTTGAAATTTTATGGTTTTAGATTCACTAAAAATTGGGGTGCGCGTCTTACTCAAGAATAAGATTTTTGCAAAATTTTCAACTGAAAAACCCCTGTGCGTGCCTTACTTGAGGGTGAGTGGTACTCGAGTAAATACGGTATAAACGTGCGCCACGCAGGATATGGTTCTAAATTGAACCATAACGTGCGCCACGCAGGATATGGTTCTAAATTGAACCACACCGAGACTGCTGATGAAGAACTTCTTGATGAGGCTATTGTAAACATTCAGACGCCATTAAGAGCGTTTTTTTTTCCTCGAGTGTTTGAAACAAAAAAATATTTTTTTGGGGGAATGTGGCCCACTTATATCTGATTATGTTTGAGCAGCGCCGCCGCATCTCGGATGGGCGCCCGCATGGGCGCCTACCAGCACCACCGCGGCATGACGCTCATTTCCATCGCGTACGCGTCCAATATCGGCGGCACTGGGTTCCTCACTGGCTCGGGACCGAATCTCGTCCTCAAATCCATGCTCACCAAGTAATTGCGAAACAAAAATCAGGAGTTTTCATTTTTTTTTGGCATGACGAGGAAAGCTGCATCATCCTAATATTGTCTCATCTAACTGCATGTTTCTGCTCCCATCATTGGAAATAACCACCATTAGATAAATTGTAGTTATTTTCCTTGCTGCCTGCATGACTAACCCTGAAAATTCTGCGTCCAGGGCTGGTGTTTTAATTGCTGATTTTTTTCTGCAGCAACCTCGAGCGTAATTAGCATTGAGCAAAAAGGCCAAAATATCCACCACCACAAACATTCGAAAGGAAATGTTTTTTCTGAAAATTCAGATTCCGAAATATTTTCTTGACCACATTTGACTTGTGGTTGTGATTCCTGTCGAATGTGCCGCAATGAAATTCCTGACAGAGAAAAACTGTCAGAGAGAAATTCCACTTATCAGAAAAAATTGCAGCTGGCACTGTTTCATGACAAATAATTTTTTGGGAGGGTTTTCTTTGCATTCTTTCTTTTACAATCATGAGAATTTCTGAATTTTCTGGGAAAAATCAAATTGCATCAAGAGGGAAAGATGAATTTTCATTGTGGAAACCTTGATTGTTGCTTTTATAGTGAGACAACAATTTTTGCATTCTGCTGGGAACCCCTAAATTATTTTGCTTGATACAGGTATTATTTTAGTATGGCCAGAAAATAAAGTTGAATGAGAAAATAAAAGAAGTTGTTGAAGTAAGTGGGGGAAAAATCAAATTATACATCAAGAGGGAAAGACAAATTTTTATTGTGAAAGCCTTGTTGCTTTTAGTGTGACAAATTTTGTTGCATTCTGCTGGGAACCTAAATTATTATGCTTGATATTAATTTAGTACCGGTGGTACAGTACCTTGCAATTTGACCATCCTGCAATTTGATGGTCAAATTTGCTGGGAGGTTGACTCTCAATTTGACCTCCGCCATGCAATTCAACCTGTGGAGAGACATGAAATGTCAAATGCCATGTAGAAAACATTGCATTTGATGTTGCTTTGCAATTTGACCACTTTGCAATTCAACCCTAGTCCAGCAATGGATCAGGGTCAAGTTGCAAGATTCAGTTGGTGTCCCACAATTCAACCCTAATCCATTGCTGGACTAGGGTTGAATTGCAAAGTGGTCAAATTGCAAAGCAACGTCAAATGCAAGGTTTTCTACATTGTATTTGACATTTGTGTCCATCTCTGTGGGCCAACTTGTGAGGCATAGGTTGAATTTTGAGTCAACCTCCCAGCAAATTTGACCATTGAATTTTGGGACAGTTGAATTGCGGGATGGTCAAATTGTGGGAGGTTGAATTGCAAGGTACCACCTGTATAGCAGTTGAGTGTTGACAGAAAATTTCATTTTAAAGATTTAATCTCTAATTTTAGAAGATCAGTTCCAATTTGTGTACTAAATATGTAATGAAGAAATTTTTGGCATCACTGTGAAAATGCGTTGGAAGATAAATTTCATCACTCCAATACAATCTTCAAATTTTTATTACAGGAAATGATTTTCCAGGTTCACCCTGAACTCCTTGCTGAAAATAATAAAACCCTGATGCCCAGAGATACAAAATCCCATTCTTTCTGTGGCATTATGTGGGGTTAGGTATTGATCTTTATCCAAGCACCAGATGAATACGGGTACAAAAAAACTGGGATGTAAATAGAACAGAAGGTTGTTGGCCTGTTTACTGCATGTGTGGTGATTTCGTCGTTCCATGCGAGTCCCCAGCAATTAAACTTCAAGGTCGCTGGGATAGAACAAAACCCGTCGCTTCTGGTGTTTCCCATTGAACTCCATCAAATAATTATATTTATAATCGTAGCAGGCCAGGGAAAACTTGACATTTTATTCCCGCTGTGGGGGAAATAGCTCCGGAATTTGGTGAAGCAGATTATGAAATTATAGATAATGGCAAAAATTGATCGTTAAAAACTCGACTTTAATCCAGGAGTTCTTTACAACCATGTTTTAGTCCTCAACCTCACTAAGTTCCAATGTGAACCTTTTACTGAACAGTTTTACTTAGAACTTATAGTCAAATACCTTAAAATTAGCACAATAAAGTCAATAATTTCTTGTCAGAATTTTCGAACATTTAAACGATATGCTGTATATTACTTTTTGGAAGGTATTTTTTTGTGCAGAATTTCCTGTCTAGACTTCCTCACAATTTCAGAAAACGGGTCGAAGAGGACAAAAGAGTCATGTTTTTTCAAATATTCCAGGGCTTTTGAATATTTTAATAAATATCGTAGCTTATTGTGAATCTAATCTCGAAATTGTTCAGACCTCATAAATCTCTGTATATGCGGATTTCTGCTGAATGACTCCCACCAAATTTCCCTCAGCTTCTCCCAGATAAGATGCAGGTTTAGTTGTTCCGACAGGAGAAAAAGAAAACACGTTGTTGGAGGTTCGTAAATTTATATACTGTATATTTTTTTCTTGTGACCAAAGATAAAGATTCTGAAGATCCGACAGGAAAGGAATTTGAAGAATCACTTCTCGGGTGCATCTCAACATTTCGGGAGGTTGTTTCTGTGAAAGAATGCCGCTTTTGTTGTTCAACTCGCAGGTGTTCCTCTAATCTTCCTCTCGTTCGAGATATATACAAGGGTTGTCGAAAAAGTTTTGTGAATTTAAGTTCTTCAAGTATTCGATTGCCTGGGTCAGATTCTCCAGAACACCTTCAGTAAGGCTCAAATAAATCGCATTATTACTCTAGAATTTTATCACAGGTGGGTTCTTCGTACTGTAAAATGAAATTCAAGGGAACAGAAAAAAATTTTGTAAAGAGAAGTTTGTTGAGTGGGTGAAGACCTCTAAAATACAAAAGAGTGCTGTACAGAGAAACTTATTGCAGACAAGATTGTTGTTGAGAGAGTTTATTTATAAAACAAATATCATTATAAATTCAATAAAGTTGTATGACTAATTATTTTAGGTCCCTTCAATAAATGTAACCAACATTTTATTTTTGTTTCAAATACAATCCACTTTTTATATACAGTAGCTAAGGTTTTTCAGGGTTCCAGTGGCTTTTTTGTAATGACACTCTGACACATCTTCAGAAATGTTCTTTCATGTATGAAATCTCTGTCTTGATAGTGATAGCTTCTTATTTTCAGTCTTTAACAATTTATTTATGTTGATTGGGCATTTCAGAGGTAGCTTTTGTAAGTATTCATCATTCCCAAAAGGGAGCTCAAGTAATT